TTGCATGTAAATATGATCATATGTAAATAATAATCAGTTTCTACCACAACAGGCAAGAGGTTACAGGACATTTCGTCAATCCTCACTAGAGCCAGACCGATATATCGGCAGACCGATATTATCGGCCGATATTAGGCATTTTCCAAACTATCGGTATCGGCAGTTATAATGGCTGATAAATGAATACTTCAAAAATAAAATAAAAACGGACGAAACACGCTTGAACCATGTCATGAGTGTTGGAGTTGTATGGTTTGTCCACCAGAGGGCACTCCACACTCGTTGAGTTGGTCACGAGACATACATTGCTTGAATAACAATTAAAAGAACATCCACATCAGTTCTCTTAACTCAAATAAACTTGACAAAATTTGTGACCATCATGTCCAGTTTAAAAAATAAACAAATAAATAAATAAAATATCGGCCGATATATCGGAATATCGGATTTTAAAACCCCAAAATATTTGTATCGGTATCGGCCTTCAAAATCCTTTATCGGTCGGGCTCTAATCCTCACTTATGAAACGTGGATTGGATTTGATCCTGAATTCCATGGATTTCATCCTAAAGTGAGGAACAAAACAAAGAAACTGATATGAAAATGTTCTTTTTATGCTCATATTAACCACTTAGCAACACCCTGGCAACCATCCACAACACTCTGAACACCTTAGCAACTACATAGCAACACTCTTAGATCAACATTCTGAACACACACAGACAACTGTGTTTGTTGTTTTTTTCCATCCTTTCTCTAATTGGTTATTTAGCTACTTGTTCTGACTTTCATGGTTGTTTTTTTTTCGTTCTTTCTTTTTTTGCAGTACATGCACGAGCTATCTCAGTTCTGACGCTCTCTGCTTTATGTGCCTGTAATGCACTGAATGATTAATGCGTGTCGTATGTTTCACATGTGACGTTTTAAATAAGCGTGCTAGTGTTCAGTTCATTAGCCTCTGTCTGTTTAATCCACACACACACACAAAACAATTAAATTAAATCAATGTGTAGTTCTCACACACACACACACACACACACACACACATCATTGGTTTGTAATTACCTTTGTAATTTCTGGAGGGAATGGCAGAGAAGCTATTACTGCATAAAGAGCTCGAGACGTTTACAACAGAGCCGAGAAGAAGCTTTCAAGAGCCTCTTCATCCTCAGATCAAACTCCTCTTTCACATCAATTACTGTGATGATGAACTACAGTATAACAATTAATGACCCACATCAGCACACACACTTGCATCACTGAACATATTTGCATGTGATTTGGACCGAATTAACAAATGTGTTCTAGGTGTTTGCTGCGACTGAGAATGTAAAACTGTGGCAGTGTATGTAGTTTAGTGTAGTTTTAAATTGTAACATGACTGTCTTACTGTATTTTTGATCAGGTAAATACAGCCTTTTTGAGACATATACTCACCCTAAACTTTTGAACAGTAGGTGGAGTATGAGTGTTAAGAAATTAAGTAACGAATAATATAATAATAATAAATGTACACTCTAAAAAATGCTGGGTTGTTTTAACCCAATTTTGGGTCAAATATGGACAAACCCAAAATGCTGGGTTAAAAATGTAATGTAAAAATGTAACCCAACGGCTGGGTTAGTCCATATTTGACCCAAAGTTGGGTTAAAACAACCCAGCATTTTTTAGAGTGTAAATAAACCAGTCTCAAACAGGAATATTTAAAGCTCATAAATATTTCATGGGCGCATTTGGATTTGGAAATAAATGGCAAATGCTTTTCAAATGCAAAAAAAAAAAGTAATTGTATTATATCAATAAAATCAGATCCAAACAGCAAAGCAATATGTTGCTCAAATTGGGTGCAACACAAGGAAATTGATTAAAAGGGAAAAGGGAAAAAAGCCAGCGCACCACGGCTCCAAAAAACTGAAAAATGCAATGACACACACACACACACACACACACACTGGTGCGCGCTTCGTCATCAGTGTGAGTACACTGACATTTTTCACATTTTTGGAGCCGTGGCGTCCCTACTTTTCCCCCCTTATTACACTCAAAAAAATGCTGGGTTGTTTTAATCCAAATTTGGGTCAAACACGGACAAACCCAAATGTTGTGTTAAAATGTCATTTAAAAAAATTACCACTGTAAGATGGGTTAACATTTTAAATGACATTTTTAATCCAACATTTGGGTTTGTCCATATTTGACCCGAATTTGAGTTAAAACAACTCAGCATTTTCAATTTAAGCAATAAATTGAATCACTTTAAAGATTGTCAATTTGAAAAGTGACTGATTTACTTTATCGCACATTCACTCAAAAGTAGGCTACATGTACCCTTTATTTTGTTGTGAGTTGGGATGCAGCCACAAGCACACTTTTAATGGCAGCATGCTAATGGTTGTGACATTTGACATTCACTATTATTTTAAACTGCAAACCTGAGCCTCGTTTAAAAGAAGAAATGGTGAAGGTCTCGTCCTCCTCATTTCTGGCATAGTTCGGGCATGTCAGAAATCGCAGTGTGGATGGGGTGTAGTGGTCTTTCCAGAGAACAATTACGTTCTTGAGCACCTTTGACACTCATCTTCTATTCTCCTCGCTTCCTATTACCCTATAGCCCTTCACACACACACACACACACACACACACACACACACACCTGTCGTTCTGCTCTGTCCCTGGTGACTGTTAAATTGATCTTGTATTGTAGTTCACTATAATAATGCTGCACGTCTCATTTTCTCAGTTTCTTCATTATTATCTTAACTCGTGGTTATTGTTCCTGCTAATGGTCATTATAAAATGAGATTCCTTGAGAAGCGATGATCTCTAATTAGACAAACCCTCTCGTAAAATCAGCAGCAACAGACAATGCTCTATGTGATTATAAAATCAACTAAGCCTATATTTTTAACGTTACATTCTAAGAAAACTCACTTACCACAACACTGCGAAAATGACGTGGCCGGTTGCCAGAGGAGTTGCTAAGGAGTTCCAGGTGGTTGCTAGGGTGTTTCTACACTGTTGTTAGAATGTTCTTAGTTTATTATGCGATCTTCAGGAGTGTTTTCGCCTGTTGGTACGCGGTTGCTAGGTAATAAATTGTGTTTCTGGAAAGAATCAGATGACATTAAAGTCGTGTGAAGTTCTAATTAAGTTCTACAAGAATGAGAAATCGCTAGAGAGAAATATGTAGAGTAGAGCGTGAATGTAATTATTATCTCCGCTATCTGCTGTCTTCCAGTGGGACGGAACTCAACAGAAGAAGCACAGGAGTGTGAAATTAAATGAATGAATCTTAACCTTTAGGCTACGCGCATTAACACAAATGACGGAACACATGCGGACATGACGACGTTATCGGATCCGGCGCGCGCGTGCACGCTACTCAGTTCCAAAGTAGCCAATAAACGCCAAATCCACTTAGAAGTAGAGAAGAAGAAGAAAATAAACAATAATTAATCCCAATACTTTTGTGGAGACACAGTCAGAAGCTGTAAAGTCAATTAGACTGGATTATTCTCTACTAGTTTACAGTTCACGTCGCTGTCTGTGTTTGTCCTGTTTGCGCGGGTCATGAAGAGTCTGACAGACAGTTGCCAAGGAAACCAATTAAACTGTTTACCTCTTCTAAAATGACATTGCTGAGGGAATTCCTGTGTGTGTGTGTGTGTGTGTGTGTGTGTGTGTGTGTGTGTGTGTGAGAGAGAGAGAGAGAGAGAGAGAGAGAGAGAGAGAGAGAGAGAGAGAGAGAGTAGGAGTAGATAGTAGTGCATCTTTTAATACTTGGGTTATTGATATATTTTATGCCAAAATCTGAATTTAATGTTGATTAGACTGCATGAACAATATTGTATCCTGGATTTTCAGTGTTGAATATAATGGTACATGACATGAGACTTTTGACTTTTGACAATTGATGGTCAACAGATTAGCATAATGATTTTATAGATGTGTTGTATATTATTTCATTGTATTGTTTTGTATTTCACTTCTTTATTTTTTGTTCGGTACTTTTTGTCTCTGTTGATCAACTCTGGTTGTTGTAAAGCGATTTATAAATAAAAATTGATTGATTGATTGAAGACGACAATGTAAGACCATGTCACAATAAAGTTGCAGGAATGATGAGGATCTATTTTCAGCCGTATCAAAGTTTATAAAACAAAAACTCAGAACACTAAACAGAACGACTGGTGTAAACACAACGAGAACAGAACTGACAGAACCTGCAGCTTAAATACACTGGTGAATTAAACTAAAATAACAGGTGTAGGCTACCAGATTACCAAATCAACAAGAAACCATAGCAACAAACTGAAAGGTTGGATGTGTCCAAAATCGCCCCCTACACCCTTAAATAGGACACTATTTTGAGGAAACAGCCATTTGGTGTCTGAAACCATAGTGGACATTATTGAGCACACTCATGCATTCCCACAATGCACTACAATAAGTGTAGAACTGATACACTCAACCATATACATTTAAGCACTTCGCAGCTAAAGAATACCCATAATGCACTGTGAGAGTCGCACGCTGAATGAATTCCCGTGTCTGACTAAATGCAGCTGAATCATCCATCCACTCATTTTCCATTTTCCTGTGGCTACAGCGTAATATCATACAGGTTTAAATTCCTTTTTAATTGATAATTAAAGTGTTTAATTACATAGTTTCCATGACAGGGTTCAAGATAAATCTTTTCATTAGGCTACTGAAGCTGCCAGTTTGCTAGGTTTCAAATGATAACGGTGCACTCGGGGTCCGAATTCACTCACTTGTTTTCCTTTACTCCAAGTAATGTAGGGGATAGTGAATGAGGGCACAGGGGTGCGATTGCAAACACAGCCTAGGCCACAGGACTGAAACATGCAAAAAAGTCCTCACAGTATACAAATGCTTCAAATGTAAAATGTTTTTCTCTGGTTGTATAGCCTACTTCACATTGGGCAAATTAGAAAACCGGCATACTTGTGTACTGTGTTTAAATATAGCCTATATATATATATATATATATATTCTGTACTCCAGAGTAGTATGCAAGTATGAAATTGTGTAATGAGTAGACATTTGAGGTCATAGGCTACATATAAAGCTCTTCTGCCCAGTGTGAAAGACCAGGGACACTAAATGACTTGCCTGGTCATTATGACATCACTGATCTCTGACCCCGCCCCCAGAGAGCACCAGTGGAACTGTTGCCATGGGAGACAGAGCCGCCCGCTGTTGTCCAATCAGGAGGCAGGAACAGGATAAGAGAGAGGACATGGAATGAAAAAGTTAGAAATGAACATGAACATGTTAGTAAATATTCTGACTAAAAGAAACAGAGTTAAAGTGGACGAACACACAGCCAGCTGAGATTAGAGTGGGTCTCTCTGTCAGGCTGCTCCTCATAAACACAGAGAGTGTGTGTGTGTGTGTGTGTGTGTGTGTGTGTGTCTGACATAATCTAATTGCAGGGAAACAACAGACAGTCCATCATTAGCAAACAATGATCAGACAGACAGAGATCTGACAGACTGAGACAAATATCTGTCTGTGTGTGTGTGTGTGTGTGTGTGTGTGTGTTTCAGGATTTGACTAAACTGTGAGGAACGAATGAACCCTGAATGATAGTGAAACCTGAAATCAGCTAGATTAAGGGAAACTGCTTAATTAAAATGTAGAAATGCATTTATACACAATGATATAAAATGACATGAAATACATTTAAATGAATGAAAAAGCAGGTTTAGGGTTAAAGGGTTTTAGAAATATTATCTCAAATATAAAACAGCAGTCTAAATTTTGCACAGAAAAAGAGAAAAAAATATGCATCTGAAAGTAAATGCATTCGTATGCAAACGCATTGACGTAAAAAGGTGTGTGTCTAATTAGAGCCAGTAAGATAACACTGATTAGAGCTCATTAGATTACTGCACAGACCACACTGAACAGAACACACACACACACCCACTCACACACACTCACATGACTATGAAATTAATGGAAATGTCAATGAGGGCTGCTAATATTCTTAAAGAAAACCAGCTTCATGAAGAAGAAGAAAACTACACACAGACATCGAAACACAGCCAGTTACTTGAAGAAAATAAAGTTGGGCGCTATCGTGTGTTGATCTGGAATAGATCACTACTGCTCTCTGCAGGACATTGGGTGTATTGTTATTGTTACTGAACTGAATTATTTTTATGCTCCTTTAAAGGGTTAGTTCACCCAAAAATGAAAATTAAGTCATTAATTACTCACCCCCATGCTGTACCAACCCCGTAAGACCTTCCGTTCGTCTTCGGAACACAAATGAAGATATTTTTGATTAAATTTGAGAGCTGTATAACTACCACATTGGCTCCTAAGGGACTGCCTCTTGACGGCCCAAAAAGTCAATGAAGAAAATGTTTAAATATCCCAAGTGACTACCGTGGCTCAACTATATGTTTATCAAGCGACGCGAATACTTTTTGTGCGAAAAAACAAACAAAAATAACGAGTTTATTCGACTATTTCTTTTCTTCCTTGTAGGCCAGAACGAGACTTCCTTATAGATTTCCATGACGCATGCACGAGAATTGCGATCTGAAGTAGTGAAGGCTGGTGTGAGCAGATCGCAAATCTCGCGCATGCGTCGTGGAAACCTAAGGAATTCTCGTTCTGGCCTACAAGGAAGAAAATAAATAGTCGAATAAACTCGTTATTTTTTTTGTTTTTTCGCACAAAAAGTATTCTCGTCGCTTGATAAACATATAGTTGAGCCACGGTAGTCACTTGGGATATTTAAACATTTTCTTCATTGACTTTCTGGGCCGTCAAGAGGCAGTCCTCTAGGAGCCAATGTGGTAGTTATACAGCTCTCAAATTTAATCAAAAATATCTTCATTTGTGTTCCGAAGACGAACGAAGGTCTTACGGCGTTGGTACAGCATGGGGGTGAGTAATTAATGACTTAATTTTCATTTTTGGGTGAACTAACCCTTTAAGAGGAACTGTCACAGACAATCCTAAAGCTTTCACAAGGTCGCGGCTGCAAACCATGTTCTTCTTTTGGGGAGGTGTTTTGGTTATAGCTGATGATGAGGAAGAGGAACTGAAACAGATCAGCTCTTCCAGACAGTGATATTAACTGAGAGAAGTTCAGATCCTCACTCTACTCAGAGTTTCTTCACTGAAAAAATATTTTCATTCATCCAATTTAAAAAATTTTAGGTTAATGGTTCACATTTATATTTTATAACTTGAACCAATGAAAATAAATAACTTACCCTAACCAATATTTGTCTATGAAAATGATTTTATAAAACTTGGTACAAAGTACATTTTTCATGTTGAAGGAAGTCAATTAATTTATATTCTATTTTTGATCTAAACAAAAATATATAGATTTAATCAAACCAAAACTTGCATGCATATCAACACATTAAATCTGTGAAGATCTCAGCAGAGGATGAGTAAACAACTCAAACAACATTACCAGCTTCACTTATTAATGACCTTTTATTTCATTTCCGTTTTGTATGAAATCAATGGTAGTATTTTAAATTAAGGTAAGTTATTTATTATTCATTGGTTCAAGTTATAAAATATAAATGTGAACCATTACCCTAAAATGTTTAAATTGGATGAATGAACATTTTTTTTCGGCCTTTGTGTAACTTTGAAATTGTACATTCGTTGAAACAATTTTTTTCTTATTTAAGATCTTAATGAAAATATTTATATTTAGCAATATTTTGAACCAAAAAAAATATAACTTGAAAAATAAAACAAATAATAGTAAACTGAATTGAATGAAAAAATATTAATTAAATGAGGTACTGCAAGAAAACCTTTTTTGGGTGTAATAAGCATTGGTCAATAAAAGTAGATCTTCTGTTTTACAGGTCAGTGAACAGAAGCTCAGATATGCAAACAATGACTTGCAATTAAAAATAATAATAATAATAATAATAATCTGGTATTGTCATGACTTGATTGTGTATCTATCGAACAAATCTGTAGAAATTTACCTTTTAAACATTTAAACAATCCATCCGATAATTATTAATTAACTGAAGAACAACGGCCCACTTACGGTCTCAAACCAGTTCAACAATTAATTGATGAATATGAAATCATATGATTCAAACACTTGAGAACTGCATTATTTAATCCACATTCATTTAACACCGTAAAAAAATTACGTGATCAATAAGTTATGACAACATATGTTTTTACATTGCTTTAACTCCTCAAAACTCTTCACATTACACAACTTTTGTATAAGTTATCAGGATTCAACTCATTTATTTAAGTCAGTTTAATGTAATTTAAGTTGAAATGACTTAAACATCCTTAAACAAGGTAAATAAATTAATCTTATATTTAACATTATTCAGTTTTTCAGATAAAAATAATCTTATTGTTTGTTTGTTTGTTTTTTGCCTTGTCATGCAGGGGGAAAACGAAAACTGTCAAGTTAGCATCTTGAAGTCATTGTTTGAGGAAGTGATTTTTTAGACACTAACTTTTTTGTGAATTTGACATCATTCAGTTTCTGCATGTTTGATTCACTACTGCGATCACAAGTCTAAGTATTCAGGTATGTCAAAGATTATTCTACTTTGTAACTATTTACAATAAGGTTTCATTTGTTTACATTAGTTTCCGTCAGTTAACATAACCTAAGAATAAAGAATACAAAATTTATTCATATTAATGTTCATCTCATCATCAAAATTAACAGTATATGTTAACATTAATTAACTGTGAACTAATATGAACTGATTTTTTTATTTTTTATGAAACTACAATGAACAGTAAAGCGCTGTAACTAGTTCATGCATGAACAAATGAATATTGTAGAGTTATTTTTACATTTTTCACTCGTCCGAAACAACGTAATGGAGAGTCAAACAGCTCAAAATATGACAGTTTATGAAAAGCATTATTCTCGGGAGACATTGTCAATAGGGTTTATATTTTAAAACTATATTTTGTTTGAAAACTTTCCAAGTAAGAATAACTTTTATGAATACAATGTAAAATTCACAATCATATTGGGTTATACAGTGGTGTGAATAAGTGTTGGCACCCATGCTAAAGTTGCCTAAAAAGAGGAATAAAAAATCATCTTTTGGATATTGATCTTAATGCCTTAATTAGAAAAATGAGGAAAACTCCAACCTTTAAGGACATCAATTTTCTTTGTGAATGAATAATGTATCATAAATAAATAAATAAATGTTTTTCCTTAAAATACAGGGTGCATGTGTTATGTTAAATTCCCGTAGAGTCAGGCAGATTTTTATTTTTAAAAGCCAGTTATTTCATGGATCCAGGATAATATGCATCCTGATAAAGTTCCCTTGGCCTTTGGAATTAAAATATCCCCACATCATCAGACACAGCCAAGAGATTGGCATGGTTTTACTTCAGTTAGCCTAATAGCTGGTTTGATTTGCATTAAAAGATGATCTTATGGAAAGTACCCCATGCCAATCTCTAGGTGTGGTGGAAGGTGTGTGATGATGTGATGATATTTTAATCCCAAAGGTCAAGGGAACTTTAAATCAGGATGTACATTATCCTGGATCCATGAAATAACTGGCTTTTAAAAATAAAAATCTGCCTGACTCTACGGGAATTTAACATAACACATGCACCCTGTATTTTAAGGAAAAACATTTATTTATTTATTTATGATACATTATTCATTCACAAAGAAAATTGGTGTCCCTAAAGGTTGGAGTTTTCCTCATTTTTCTAATTAAGGCATTAAGATCAATATCCAAAAGATGATTTTTTATTCCTCCTTTTAGGCAACTTTAGCATGGGGGCCAACACTTATTCATACCACTGTATATTCTGGATAATAAAAAGTTGTTCTCAGTATAAATGTTAAACTGGGTCAAGATGTCAGATGCTTTTATATGTTTAAATTTGATACAATTTATTGATTCCAATGTGTTTGCATGTTACATTTGACATTTTGTTATATAATCATTAAACTGTTAAAATTGAGCTAAATAGCTGAAAGTTTCCACTGTGAATGTGACAACATGCCCCGCCATGCTCTTTACTCTAAAGTTTAGACTTTAGTCATGTTCAGCCTTTAACAGGTTTTCTTTTCTTCCTAAAGCAATGAAGCCGTGCATTTCAGAAACCAGCAGGGTGAGATCATGTTTCCTATTATGATCTGATGACTGAAGCACTTACAGAAACAGTAGTTGTGATCTTCACAGTCATGTGCTGTCCTTCCTGTTCAGTTCCAAAAAAAAAAAAATGCTATTGATTTTCAAAATGCTGAAACCCTTTAATTTTTTCACATTTTCTGTTATTTGGTAAGAAAACATCTTAATTGTAGAGATTGCAATGTACATGTTATTAATAAGTCAAATACTATGTTTTAAATAAGATAAGAACTGTTGACCTTCTCGTAGCCCTCAAACCGTATTTCACTTCCTGTAATTGTGGACAAATGTGGGCACAGAGGACTCAGGTGTGATCCTAATTTATATTTATTATAAATGTTATATCACTGTCTTCGATAAAGTTGTGTCTATCCATTTATGGTTTTTTTTTTATTATTTTGGGGGTATTTTTACATTTATTTACTTCAAAAAGTACCATATTTTCTATGTAAATAATGCTTATTTTTGTTTTATTTTTTAAATTTTTTAACTAAATTAAAATATCATTTCAATAAGTTCTTCGAGCTAAAACCTAAAGATGAAGTGACTTTGCTGTCACCTGGTGTCTTATTTTGGCTTATTTTATAATGCTCTAAATGACAGTTTTTCCCATTCATTTCTACGGGTGCCCATTTTTGACCCAAATACAAGATTAAGGAGTTGTTGTTTTTTCACACACTTAACATTGTAGAATTGAGTAAAAAAAAAAAAATTGCGTGTTCAGGAGGCAAACTTTGGAAAAGTAGCCAAGTCTTGTACCGCTCAGGTCAAATCAAAACTATTTTGCCCACATTTGTCCAGAATACAGTTTTAGTTTGTGAAGATGGAACTGACAAATTATCTTTATGCACAAAAAACATATAAACCATATAATATAAAACCTTATTCTGATTAATCTGCCATTCATTATCTTCATTATCTTCAGAATCCTCCAGGTAGGGCATCTAAAAGAAAGCGAAGTTCATCCACCCCTGAAGAGAGAAAGACTACGTAAGATTTGACTATTTTCAAACTACCGTATTTGAATTGTTACATTTCATTTCACACTAACTTTTTTTTTTTTCACACACATTTAACATTGATTGTAAAAATGTATCCAGATCGTCTAGATTTTTTAAAGTAAAAGTGTAATTTTTTTTTTCATTAAAGCTGCAGTCCATAGCTTTTTTGGGTTAAACATTATCCAAAACTCTCTGCTTGCCGTAGCTCCATTCAAAACGGTAAGCTTGTAATAATGTTTTTAATTCCAGCGGTACTGGTGGATTTCAGCGGGAGATTCGAGCATGTCTTTGCGTCATTACGTCACATCTGTACACACGTCTGTACACACACACATCTGTACACATAAAGAAGGGCTGCGCTCCAGCCCAAAATTGTCATTCCCTTCACTCGCTGCTCTCGCTCACTGATGTTAACATTTACAACTTGAGAACAAAGTATAATTTGCATGGTTTGACTTGATATGATGAGCAATGGATAGACTTAGTGCGATTTACTGTAATGCTTTTTGAAAATTCTTATGTTGGTCATACTTCCAAAAAGTATAATCTGTGATTCTGAATGCCAGGATCCACACCGGCGGCGACTGACAGACACACACTCTCCTCAAACATTGTGTTCATCCTGCTGTGCCGTGCCGCGGCACAACTCACGTAAAGTTGATAATTCCGCGAATAACTGCAATTGCAGATTTCAAACAGAGATGGCGACAAAGAGGAAAAACTACAGACTGCAGCTTTAAAGTAAAAAATTTTATATGATATGACTAATAGATTTATGTTAATGCACAAAGATGGTTATGTCTTAAGCTTATTTCTTTATTCCTCAATAGACAATCAGTTGAGTTGCCAGGTGACTTTTGTTATGAAGAAATAGTCAGGATCGATATCAATGTTCTGACCACTGTCACTCATGCAGGTAATCATTTTCGAATTACAACTATTATGTTTGAATTAAACTCTTTAAATTGACCTTACAATCTTTAGTATTCACCGTCAAGTTGCCGCTGATCATATGACTGTGCAAAATTTATTGCAAATCAATATTTGCAATAAATTAGCAATATTTGCAATGAATTCCAATACCCCCCCTCCCCCCAACTACATTCATTAGAATAACTACTATTATTATTTATAAAGTGATATATAATTGTTAACGAGGGCTGGAAGTGAAAAAGGCCTTATATTCAAATGTGCATAATTATTAAGCAGCTTTTCTTTTACAGGTTAAATGGACCAAAAGGAGATTTAACTCACACCACACTGAAAAGTCAAAATATATATATATAATATATATATATATATATATAAACGGCAAAGTTAAGCCGTGACCAGTGGAAAATAAATGCTCACTGGGCCAGATGAAAAGATACAAAAGACTTTAAGAAAATGTGAAGTATAGATGTGAAACCACCAGGAACCCATCAGTCTCCAGCCTGGATACTTCTAGTTAAATATCAATAACATTAGCCTTATTTTAGTGTTTTGAGTTCTTTCAGTCTATTTGTTCTCCCTTGTCATGTGAACAGTGTAGAGGATGTATTTTTGGAAAATTTGCGGAGGTGTGACTCTTGGTTTGTATAAGATTTATATTGTACATTTTGAGGATGTCATATGTTCTTTCCTTGTTAGATTTCTTTATTGTTTATTTTAATAAGAAAAAAGTAAAAAAAAAAAAATGTTTAGCTTGAGATGATGGTAGCCAACAAAATCTAATGCTGCCACCTTTTGTTGACATCGTGAAACAGCATTATTTACAAACGAAATGTGTTGATTTAATTATACTATGTATCATATATCAATTTTCCCTGCTTTTATTTTGTGATTAATTGAATTATTTTCTATGTAAAGCACTTTGAATTACCAGAGTGTATGAAATGTGCTGTATAAATAAACTTGTCTTGGTGGGCCACATGTACAGCCTAATTAATTTTAACAGATGACCCGGACTTTGGACACCCGTGCTCCAGAAAAACAAGGTGTCAGGTTCTCAGATACTTCAAGAAGCCTGAAACATCAATCAAATCATTTTACAGAATCTGGCAGTTCATTTTAAGTCCATCTCGCTTATTGTTAGTAGCAGCTCACACCATGATTCAGGGCTCTCAAGTTTTGAAGACAGGCTAAATTTTTATTAGTGTTTATGTTGTTAATGATAATTGATTGAGATTATGACTGGTGTTGTTTATTTTAAGTGTTTGTTGCCTTTTTGGACTCCTGTATCTAATGGGCCGACCCTTTTCGCCACCCTCTCTGGCCAGCATCCTCTAACCTGGGCTTTTTAGGGGGCTTTGCTCTCATGCTTAATTGCTTTTTACCTGACATATTAGAAAAAAAGATGCAATGATTAATGCATCCATAGGCAGGATATAATTATAAAATATGACATGATTTTAAAAGTCATCTATGACTATAACATCAATTATGCAATACAATTCAATTTATTTATCTGGAGAGTTAGGTTTATAATGTGATAATATGTCAGTCATCGTGTGATTAAGAAATATGACTAGCCCTAAACTACTTGTTCTGGGCAGGGGTTGTCAGTGAACAGACTGTAAAACTGTTGGCTAAGTTACAGACACTCATTGCTAATTATCTGGGAATCAATCACTAACAGTTGTCAAGTTGTCATTGTTTGTGACAAACAAGTTGTGAATTTGATGTAACATTAAAACAGGAGATCATGACTTACTTAGTGCTCACAGTGATGAAGCTCCGGTGGTTTGGTTTCCTTTTTTTTTCTTCTTCTTCTTTTTAAGGATGTTTCGATACGCCACTAAGTAGGTGGTTGGTTTCCTTTCCTCTGTGGGTAAAATAAACTTTCGGGAAAGAATCAGAGGCAGAATCACGTGAACAATTCCAGGATATGCTCTTTTGTTATTGGCTGTTGCGTTAAATCTTACCCAGATACAATAGTGCTCTTTACTGATTGGTTATTGTAAAGCATTCTTTTTTTTTTTTTTGATTGGGCAGGCTCGAAATATAAATATATATTACTATGAAAGGTCAATGCATTTCAAATAATATTCGTCTTGTTTTATATCTTTTAGATCACTTTGAGTTAGTTCACGATGATGCACTTATCTTGTTCTTTGATTTCAGACTGAGAATAGAGTATAGAGTATTCAGACTATAAAATACGCATTTGATACACTACAGTTCGGTTAAAAAATTTACAATTCGGTCAAAAATGTATGAAAACTGTTTAGACCCTGTATAACACATCAATAGTAATGTATCCTTATCTAATGGGACTTCACCTCGGTTTGTCATTGAGAGAGGCATCAGGCTGCCCTATTTCTCCTTTTTGTTTCTGTTGGTTGCAGAGCTTCTTAAAGGGATAGTTTAACTTCAACATTTTTCAGTTTTTCAGATAAAAATAATCTTATTGTTTGTTTGTTTTTTGTCTTGTCATGCAGACGGAAACTGAAAACTGTCAAGTTAGCACATCTATTTCTATACATTTGAGGAAGTGATTTCTTACTTTAGTGAATGACATCCTTCAGTTTCTGCATATTTGATTCTCTACTACGATCACAAGTCTAAGTCTATCACATATCGACGCCAAATTTTTATCGAGTGGAGAACGGGCCGAGGCCTTTTGAAAGAGACCGTCCCCAAGATCTCTTCATTATCAGTAAATGAAGAGATGTCATATTGATCAGTTGAAGTATGGAGTACCACAGGGCTCAGTACTAGGCTCAGAACATGAGTCATGACTGCAATGGAAATTCATGTGCTCTATACAGTATATGATTATTTTATACACTTATGTCACAGAAAAAAACAGTAAAATAGAACCGTTCTGCTTCCCTTTTTATTAAACAAACATTCCTGTCCTTCAATTAAAACATATGACCAATGTTGCCCATAATATTAATAATTAAATGTATTCCAAATATGAGTCCAAAATAAGTTTATTGCTGACAGCACAGCACGACTTTCAAGGCACAATCAAGACAAATCATGACTTCATTTCATTAAAGTTTGTTTCAAACACATTCAATGAAATCAGAGTTGAAATTTATTACAGTTTAAGATGAAACAGGAGGAAATCCTCAGTAACTTTATCAGATTAATAAAGCATTTGTCTTCATAGTTAAAACAGCAGAAACAAAAGCAAAAATGTAAAGAACATTAGGAGACAAACGACTCAAAAGCGATGAGTGGACGCATCATGAGACGCCTCAGAAGAGGGTTTTGCTTCTTCAGCTTTGGAGCTATGCTGAAAAACACACACACACACAAAGCTGAATCAACAAATAAAAAGCCATGGAAAGGCTAAATATGTAAGAACAGGCCTTTTAATGAAGTATAAAAAATCCCAGAATTCCCAGTGTTTGTGGCGCGTGTGTGTGTGTGTTACCTTGGTCTTGAAGAGCAGGTTTATGACTCCTTTGGAGCGACGGTCACTCGTGCGGTCAGACGGCAGACACACAGACACACTCTTACTGTCACGCTTGGACCGCGCTGACTCCGCCTCCTCACTCCCATTGGCTACTGACAGAGACAGACCTGAGGACAGGACGAGTGGAATGAAAAGAGTGGGAAAATGTCTCCACGATCATACAAACACACCCAGAAGTTCAGATAAGCACAGCAGAAGTGTGTGTGTGTGTGTGTGTGTGTGTGTGTGCTGTACCTGTGATAGTAGGCAGAGATCTGGAGTTGACGAGGCCGCTGCCGCTCATGTTCGGCTCTGACAGGTTCGTGTCGCTGCGAAACTCCTGCTTCTTGGAGAGCTAGAGAGATAAAGTGAAGATAATAATTACCATATTAATATTTTCAATTAAATTCACGTTTATTTGTGCAGCGCTTTTTCACAATACACATCACTTCAAAGCAGATTTACAGACCACATTACAATTAGAGTGATCTGTCATCAGAGGAAACTGTCTAAGAAAACATAAATACACGATTTTTTATTTATTTAAACAATGTAATAATTTAATAATTAACATCAAAATCCCTATTAAATAAAATCACAAACAGGTTAATGAAGGACCAAACCTGTAAAAATATTCAATAAATTTATCAATTAGAGGTATTTTAATGTTTCTGTATTGTGTTTAATATTTAGGTTGACATGCATGTGTGTATTTTAGGTGCTCTTTTGCCTTTAATACTTCATCGTAATTGTTCCTGTTGTGTAATAAATTAATCTTTAGAGTACAAATGGTGTACATGCAGTGTTAATATGAGCTTAAAGTATTAGTAAAATGTCCAGTATATTAAACTACTTCTACAACAATTGAATTTATTTGATTATTTATTTGTACATTTGATTATTAGTTATTTATAATAATCAAATGTACAAATAAATATTATTTATAATATTATTTATAATAATATTATTTATTATTTATTTGTACATTTGAATACATTTGATTATTTATTTTACTTTTGAATTTAATCTTGGATGTATTTACTTTTTGTGCAGTCCTCCATGTATTTGTGTGTGTGTGTGTGTGTGTGTCTCTCACCCGTTTGTCGAGGGTGCTGCTCCGCTCTTTCTCTTCGCTGATGAAGATCATGCTGCCGCGGCCGGGCTTCTTCTTCTTCTTGGATTTCCTCAGTTTCACCTGGAACAACAGAGGGGAGGAGCATGATGATGTCACTCTCGAGAGCTGCAATCATTGGTCCTGGTGTTTTATTCTGTTTTGTGATTGGTCGAAACATGTCACAGTAGTCTTCATCATCCTCACCTCCACTTCAACACCGCTCTCATCCATCACACTGATACTTCCACTGGAATGAGGGATGATGGACGGAGACAGAGGAGGGCCACTGTCCATAGACAAACTACAGAGAGAGAGAGAGAGAGAGAGAGAGAGAGAGAGAGAGAGAGAGAGAGAGAGAGAGGGAGGTTAGGTTTGAAATAAAAAAAACTACTTTCTAAAAATATTATGTCAGACAGAAAACATTATGCAATGACAAACAATTACAATTTTACTTAATTTAATTCAAGTATCATGTTACATTGTTGTCACATGACCTCCTCGCATGGCATATTTAATTTAGCATCATCTCAGAAATCATACAAATATTAATAAAAGAAAAACAACATAACAAATATTATATTTTTTAAAAATATAAATTTATGTATAAACAAAAACTACTGAAATAAATTCTTTTAAATTACCCCAGTTTAATTTAGCATCATCATCAAGTAAAACAATCTATTAATGTAATTATTAAAATATACATACTAAAACAAACATTAATACAATGAAATAATTATTTTCTAATATACAGAACATAAAGAAAATGTTTTGTTAATATATATAAAAAATAATATGGAATAAAATTTGAATTTATTGACAGGATAGCCCCTTGAGATGTAACGTCTCATTTTCGAGGGGTCCTAAAAACATACGTAATTTAAAATACAGACAACATAAAACAAAACAAAACAAAACTACAAAAACAAAAACGATAAAAAGTAATATTTTCTATAAAATGTAATGCAATTTAAAGTCTAACATTTAAAGAAATGATAAAACAATGTATAAATAACAAATATTAACACAAATAATTTAAATATAAATATTAAAACAAATATATAAATATTTTTTTCTATAAAAAAAGAAATATAGCAAGGCACACACTGGAATGAATCATTTGTAGGTGTGTCTGATAAAAGTCCATTATAAACCATATAAACAAAAAAGTTTGAGTAGTGTGTCGGATTTATACATTTCTCAATTCTAATATATATAGATATAAAATTAAAAATGATACTTTCTATAAAAATACAGAAAATCTGCATTCAATGCACAGTACCCATTTTAACCGATAAACTGGTTTAATGTTCAAAGTAAGTTATTCTGAACTCTGCGGTAGAGAGAGAGAGAGTGTGTGTGTGTGTGTGTGTGTGTTTGTGGTCACCTCTCTGGGTGTGTCTTAGTGGGCGTTCCACATTCAGATCCAGCCAGTGAGCAGATGGACTGTCGGACCGAGCGCAGCATCGAGCGCGGGCGAGTGGACCGTCTCTCGTCCATATCCGGCTACACAAGAGGAACACGATCAAGCACAGTCACATCAAATATCATCACTTCCTGTGAGCAACATCACTTCCTGTCTCCTTCTTACCAGCTCTCTCACTCCATACTCCTTCTCCACCTTCTTCCTCAGCTGTTTGAAGCACTCCTCCATGCGCTCGTGGAAAGGTCGAAGGTCATCGGTCACTCTTTTCCCATGCAGACTGATTCCTCTGCCCAGCAACGGGATCTGCGCGAGTCACACAGGTTAACGTCTGTCCCAACCCAACAACAACGAGAAACACAATGTGTCTGACCTGCCATGCGATGAGGTCTTTGAGCCTCATGAGTTTGTCTCTGTCATCAGGATGTTCGTGTGTGTATTCCTCCGTGAAGAACGCCTGTACACACACACACACTCAGATCAAGAACCATTCTCAGAGATTCTCTGGATCGCCTCACACACACACCGCGTCTCTCTGACCTTCTCGTATTTGGCGAAGCCGCCCATGACGGCGGGATCCACGATGCCGTTGAGCAGCATGGAGAGGGGGTTTATGGGTAATGTGTCGTCACACTGGTACTGGTTGATCATGGTGAGGATCTTCTCATTGGTTTGTCCCATCGTCTCCAGAGCGTTCTCCAGCGGACTCACCGTCGTCTGACAGATTAATATATCTTTACTTCAAGTTTATTTGTATAGAGCTTTTATACAAAATATACGGTTTTAAACAGCTTTACAGAAAATAAACAACTGCAATCAACCCCATAATAACATTATTATATAATACGATATATACAGTAATATAATGATGTGTGTTCACTTTTGCTATTATAGAGGAAGTGTTTGGATATGTTTGAACTGGCATACAACATTATTATTATTTTTTTGTTGTTGCAAAATGTGACGATATTATCACCCGGCTCTTCATATAAAGTTGGATATGCAATATAAGCACGTCCAACTTTATCTGAATACATTCAGTGCACTTCTGTAAAGTGATACTATATATAGCAAATCTCAACGGCTTGAATTGATTGTACACTCTTAGAAGAAATGGTTCTATTTAGAACCAGAAATGGTTCCATCCCTCGCTTCATATATGGAACTCCAAAATGGTTCTATATAGAACCATTTTTTTTTGGTAAAAGGTTCTATTGGCCAATGATGGAACCCCAGGGTTCTATATAGAACCCAGAGGAACCCTTTTTTAAGAGTGTATAGAACCTTTTAGGGGTTCCAAATATGTAGCGCTGATAGAACCTTTTAAGGTTCTATATAGAACCTTTTCTTCTAAGAGTGATAGTCGCAAAATGTAACTATATTGTTGTCGAGCTCTAATCTGGAAACGCAACAAAAACATGAAAATATTAAGATACTATAAACATTAACATCGTGATTTTCTGTAAAACAATGCATATATAGTGTACACATACATTTGATTTTTGGACTTAATGTTATGTTTTACAGGAGGACATTATACACAATTTCTGTATGCATACAATAAAGCAACCTCTTGAAGTTATATTATGGTAAATTCAAATTTTAGCTCTTTCTTAATTATTATGAGACGTGAAAATACAAAATATAAATGTATTTCTGAGATGAAACCCAATGTCAGTGCATTAAAAATAATTACACATAGTGAGGTCATGTGACAATGTAGAAACGACAGGTTTGTTTATTGTTGTATACGGCAGTGTTAGGTGTAATGTGTTACGACATAATTAATTACTTTCCCCCAGAAAAATTAAAGTCAGGGATTACTCTTCATATTTGTGTATTTAATTACAGCTACTTCTGATGTAACTGCATTCAGTTCTGTATAGAATATAGAACAATTCTCTATATAACACTAGTGCATTTATAATGCGTTTATAATGTAACCTTCTCCCTTTAAATAATTTGGTCAGTTCAAGAATAATGTATGCAATTTTATATTCAATATTTGAAAGTATTAAAAGAGAAGTCTCCATTTTTAATTGTATTGTTTAACTGCTCGAGGTTGATATGCACTCTTAGAAGAAAAGGTTCTATATAGAATCAGCGCTATGTATTTGGAACCCCTAAAAGGTTCTATAAGGGTTCCTCTGGGTTCTATATAGAACCCTGGGGTTCCGTACTTGGCCAATAGAACCTTTTACCAAAAAAAAAAATGGTTCTATATAGAACCATTTTGGAGTTCCATATATGAAGCGGGGGATGGAACCATTTCTGGTTCTAAATAGAACCATTTCTTCTAAGAGTGTGGGATTTCGAAAGTAATCAATCAGTAATGCAATGCTTTTTAGAGAGAGTAATTAGTACAGTTAGCAGCTTGTAATTAATTACAGTTTTACTTTCCCAACACTGCTGTTTTGCATACTGTTATAAAGTAGGCAGTTAGTGTACTCTGTGTGAAGTACGGCAGAGTTTGATGGACACTCACGTGGGTCATGCTAATGGCCTCAAACCAGCGCAGGATTCCTGGGAGTTTATACGCCGTTATGAACGTGGTGCGTTCGATCCACATCGACTGAAGACAAGAGACAGGACACAGAGAACAGAGTTAATGAACCAGTGTGTGTGTGTGTGTGTGTGTGTGAGAGGGACAAAAGACTCTTCAAGGATTTTGGGGCCCTAATAAGCAGAATTTGATTTGGGGGGAGTCACCTGTGCTTGACGACTATTGACACAAATATCACGCAATAATGATACATTATAAATTAAGTTTATGTATAAATACAAAATAAATACTTAGCCTATAAAAAAATAGATAGCCTACTTAAATATTTTTAAATATTTTTATCTCTTTTACTAACTCTTTAAAACTTCTTAAAGTGTCTCAAAACATATCAACTCAATTATTTGCTTAAATAATGACAACTGAGAAATAAGAGCAAGGGTTCAACAGTGACAATTATTGATTAAAAGAAAACTGTAAAATTAAAATGTATTATTATTTATTATTATTGTAACAGACTTTGTTAGATTGTACATGACAGAATCCAACAAAGTCTGTTAATATTATACCGGTAATGATGTTCTGGCACATCTTGGCCACCAGGGGGCCCCCTAATCGAGTCGAAAAATAGGGGAAAAAAATTATAATCTAGACTAATATAAACAAGTGACATAAAACAAGCAGTCGTGTGACAAAATCACTTTTGTTAATTTAAATAAAGCCAAAATAAAATAGATGAAAAACATCAGAAATTTTGTTTTGGCAAGAAACTGAAAAAAGTACTAAAATGACAAACTAAAACTGCGAATAATATATTAAAGCTAAATAGAAATATTTGAAGAAGAAAAAAACTCAAATGACAAGCAAACTAAAATTAATATGAAAACTGAAAATATAAAAATAAAATATAGTCTGATAAATACTATACTAGTTTATAACAATACTAAAATAACACTGGAGAGATTTATTCAATGATTTTAGCCATTTGTAAATGTGAAATATTGTTATTAATAAGTGAAATTAGATTTTCTTTGCCGCCTGTGTTTTTTATTCAAGTTTATGCTAAAATAAATCAATTTACATGCCGAAACCACAAAAATGGGGTCTTATTATATCAGGCCACATTGCTTGTCTTTCTAGAGAGATCTGGCAACAATTATTGAGCTTTGAATGTGTTAAAGCAGTTACACTTGCGTCCGAGTGGATCTATTCCCATTAAAACTGCGAAGTAATATGAAGTAATTTGACTTTAATCTAAATGCTTGCTCTATTTGAAAGTAAAAAGAGTCTGATCATTCTGTTGAACATATAGGCGTTTGATATGCAATGTGTAAATGTGCCTCTGAAAGTGTGTAATGAGTATAATTAGCTTGATGAACATTAGAGATCCTCATGTACACGTTTGTTTGGATTTGTTAGGACTCACAACAAACTCATTATCAGGATCCACTTTCCCTTTCCTCACGGGTCTGGAATACTGGAACCGCTGGACGTAGTTCGACTTGTAGAAACTACAGAGAGACAGAAGACATGAGGAGGAGAGTTCACACACAGATGAGTGTGTGTGTGTTCAGAGAGCTGAAGACTGACTTGATGATCTGATCAGGGACGGGTTTGTTCTTCAGCCGTGGCGGGATCTCGAGAACCGGCTGGACTGTAAAACACTGGATATCTGATCCAGACCGGATAAGAACAACACACTGACCACTTATATTTAAACATATCAAAGCATTGTCTAATCATTTATATTAATATAAGTCATATAAAACATATACAGTATATTAATATAATACACTCTTAGAAAAAAGGGTTTTATATATGTAGCATAGGGTTCTTTACTCAACTCCAAAGGACATTTTATGCTAAAAAAGGTTCAATAATGACAAGAAAGAACACTTTTGGTTCCTTAAAGGCTATTATTTATTTATATATTACATTATTCTGAAACATTTTGTAGTTGTTATTAAATTATTGTTTATTAAACTGTTGTAGTAACTTAATATCACATTTTAATCATGCAGATTTTTGGAGGATAAAAACTGAAATGGCACTCTTCGTGTGATATTGATTAATTACATTTTTTAACCACCATATCTTGAATTTTGTGATCATTCACATACATTGCATTTTAGGGGTTCCAAATACGTAGTGCTTTAGAACTTTTTAAGGTTCTATATAGAACCTTTTCTTCTAAGAGTGTATAATATAATTTAATAAAGTTCAAAAAATCTAAAATTAAACAAAATAAAGTTAATGAAGATAATGAAAAAAATAAATAAAAAATAATATAATGTAAATTAAAAATTAAAAATATAATATAAAACCGATGATATAATTTAATATAAAGAGCAAAAAATCTAATAAAACTAAAGATCATAATTTATGATCATTAAAAAAAAAAAGAGTTAAGATTTTTTTTAAGGGCTGAAGTCATGTATATTAATATATGACCAAGACGAGACCAAGATGAAGATCAGAGGGTATCGAGACCAAGAAAAGACCGAGACCAAGACCAAGTCGAGACCAAGACCCAAGTCGAGACCAAGACCAAGACCCAAGTCGAGACCAAGACCAAGACCCAAGTCGAGACCAAGACCAAGACCCAAGTCGAGACCGAGACCAAGACCAAGAAAAGACCGAGACCAAGACCCAAGTCGAGACCAAGACCAAGACCCAAGTCGAGACCAAGACCAAGACCCAAGTCGAGACCAAGACCAAGACCAAGTCGAGACCAAGACCAACACCAAGTCGAGACCAAGACCAAGACCCAAGTCGAGACCAAGAAAAGACCGAGACCAAGACCAAGACCCAAGTCGAGACCAAGACCAAGACCCAAGTCGAGACCAAGACCAAGACCCAAGTCGAGACCAAGACCAAGACCCAAGTCGAGACCAAGACCAAGACCAAGTCGAGACCAAGACCAACACCAAGTCGAGACCAAGACCAAGACCCAAGTCGAGACCAAGACCAAGACCAAGTCGAGACCAAGACCAAGACCCAAGTCGAGACCAAGACCAAGACCCAAATCGAGACCAAGACCAAGACCCAAGTCGAGACCAAGACCAAGACCAAGTCGAGACCAAGACCAACACCAAGTCGAGACCAAGACCAAGACCCAAGTCGAGACCAAGACCAAGACCCAAGTCGAGACCAAGACCCAAGTCGAGACCAAGACCAACACCAAGTCGAGACCAAGACCAAGACCCAAGTCGAGACCAAGACCAAGACCAAGTCGAGACCAAGACCAACACCAAGTCGAGACCAAGACCAAGACCCAAGTCGAGACCAAGAAAAGACCGAGACCAAGACCAAGACCCAAGTCGAGACCAAGACCAAGACCCAAGTCGAGACCAAGACCAAGACCCAAGTCGAGACCAAGACCAAGACCAAGTCGAGACCAAGACCAACACCAAGTCGAGACCAAGACCAAGACCCAAGTCGAGACCAAGACCAAGACCAAGTCGAGACCAAGACCAAGACCCAAGTCGAGACCAAGACCAAGACCCAAATCGAGACCAAGACCAAGACCCAAGTCGAGACCAAGACCAAGACCAAGTCGAGACCAAGACCAACACCAAGTCGAGACCAAGACCAAGACCCAAGTCGAGACCAAGACCAAGACCCAAGTCGAGACCAAGACCCAAGTCGAGACCAAGACCAACACCAAGTCGAGACCAAGACCAAGACCCAAGTCGAGACCAAGACCAAGACCAAGTCGAGACCAAGACCAAGACCCAAGTCGAGACCAAGACCAAGACCAAGTCGAGACCAAGACCAAGACCCAAGTCGAGACCAAGACCAAGACCCAAGTCGAGACCAAGACCAAGACCAGAGGGTATCAAGACCAAGAAAAGACTGAGACCAAGTCGAGAGCAAGACCAAGTCGAGACCAAGACCAAGACCCAAGTCGAGACCAAGACCAAGACCCAAGTCGAGACCAAGACCAAGTCGAGACCAAGATGAAGATCAGAGGGTATCGAGACCAAGAAAAGACTAAGAACAAGTCGAGAGCAAGACCAAGACGAGACCAAGACCGAGACCAAGACCAAGTCGAGACCATGACCAAGACCAGAGGGTATCGAGACCCAAAAAAGGCAGAGACCAAGTCGAGACCAAGACCCAAGTCGAGACCAAGACCAAGACCAGAGGGTATTGAGACCCAAAAAAGGCCAAGTCGAGACCAGGACCGAGACCAAGACCAAGTCGAGACCAAGACCAAGACCCAAGACGAGACCAAGACCAAGTCGAGACTAAGACCAAGACCAAGACCAAGACCAGAGGGTATCGAGACCCAAAAAAGGCAGAGACCAAGTCGAGACTAGGACCGAGACCAAGTCGAGACCAAGACCAAGACCAAGACGAGACAAAGACCAAGTGTGTGTTTTACTAAATATTAATACATCAAAAACTGTTCATGATGTGTGTTTTTTAAATCAAGTGATCAAAGTCCCAGTGTTTTCTCGTGTGGCTCTCGCACACCGCACTGTCTTCACTCAGACGCGCGCTTCAATCCGGTGCGGATATCGTGGTGGATATTGTAGTATTGTATTGCCAAATCCCCCGACCTCTATGTCAGTCTGAGACAGCGAGACCTAGACAAGACCGAGACCAAGACATACATCACTACTACATACATATATAAAAAGCATATGGCCACAGAGTATAAGAAAAGGATACACTGCATGTTTGAGTTTTTAATGTCGTCTCCAGGCATGGTGGTGATGTTGAGTCTCACAGCGCTGGGAAACTGACTCATCAAATGACTCTGGAAATCTTCCCTGCGCTCGTACTCCTTCCCACGGTGAATGAAAACCTTATTCTGATCAAATGAATTACAATAAAACAAACACATCATTACATATCTGTTAGGACAGTTAGGACAGATCATAAACACACACTGACCCTGAGGAACTGAGGGAACCCGCATCCGTAATATCCCACAGCGAAGTAGTCCGGCTTGGGCCGCAGGATCTTCATAATGTTCTCGTAAAACTTGGCTTGCTGATTCTGCAACAGGAATTCATTCATGTAATAAACAAAGAGGGAAAATGCTAAAACACCAGCTAATCCTGAGAGTTTAGTGTGTGTTACCAGTTTCTGTCCGAGCAGCTCGTAATCGAAGACCTCCATCTCGTACTGATCCGCCAACTCCTTACACAGCGTGATGGCCTCCTCCCACATCTGACACACACAAACCAGATCACACACACGTCACACTTCAACATCCAGTTCTGAGAAGTCACTTTAAAGGGTTAGCTCACCCAAAAATGACAACACAACGCTGAATAAAGTCATTTTTTGGTGATTTTTGGACCAAAATGTATTTTCGATGCTTCAAAACATTGTAACTAACCCACTGATGTCACATGGACTACTTTGATGATGTCTTTATTAACTTTCTGGACAAGGACAGTACACCGTACACACATTTCCAATGAAGCTCTCGGACTAAATCTAAAATATCTTAAACTGTGTCCTGAAGATGAACGGAGAGTCATTAACGACATCATTTTTGGGGGATCTAACCCTTCAATGTGATACTATACAGTTAAAGTGTGTGTATCTGCTGACCTTGCCCTTGTCGAAGTAGCTGATGATGGTGTCGTAGAGTGTTTCTTTGAGCTGGCGCTGGGACTGAGGCGTCTGATAGTCCAGTTGAAGAGCACACTGTTCCTCTGACCACTGCAGATACACCACAACATCAACTCAATACACAGACAAACAACAACAGAATCAATGACATCCAAGTTCACTCCAAGAAAACAGTGTCATTAGTCTGATCAATATTGATTCAGTTCAGTTCAACGACAGTGTCGGTGTTCAAAATGTGTATGTCGGTTATTAACTGCCAATCTCACTCCAAGGTTCTAAATAGAACTTTAAAGGATTCCGTCACACGCTTCGTATTTAGAACCTTTTAGGGGTTCAGATCATGACATCATTCTGTGGATTTAGTTTTAATTCATTCATTTAGTTTTAAATAAAATGTATGAATTAAGCAGCTCATACACATACTTTATCACAAGAAAAAAATAATAATTAAACAGTAAATACATTTTTAACCTTTTTGGCATAAATTGTTGTTTAAAATTGAGACAAGAACCCTAGATATATATATATATATATATATATATATATATATATATATATATATATATATATATTAGGGCTGTGCAAAAATTAATTGCGATTAATCGCGTCCAAAATAAAAGTCTGTGTTTACATAATATATGTGTGTGTGCTGTGTATAATTATTTTGTATATATAAATACCTATGCAAGCATGTATAGATTTATGAATTATTTGCGCTTAAATTCTGTATATATATATAAATACATAATCTATATTATATAAATATAAATATTTTATATATGAATAACACATTTTCTTTAAATATATACATACATGTGTGTGTATTTATATATACAAAATAATTATATACAGCACACACAAATATATTATGTAAACACAGACTTTTATTTTGGATGCGATTAATCGCAATTAATTTTTGCACAGCCCTAATATATATATATATATATATATATATATATATATATATATATGAAGAGTTCAGATGCAAAAGCCTCTAAATGCCATTTGAAATGTTCTTCTTTAATGATGATTTTTATCAAACTTGTATATTTAAGTTCAGTAATTTCACTTAAATAACAATTAATAGGTAATTATCATTGCCATTTAAGTGAAATCACTGAACTTAAATATACAAGCTTGATAAAAATCATCATTAAAGAAGAAAATTTCAAATGGCATTTAGAGGCTTTTGCATCTGAACTATATATATATATATATATATATATATATATATATATATATATATATATATGTGGAACCCTTTCATCTTCAGTTTGATTGAGGTTTGTGTGACTAAAGCGAGAGGTCGAACTGAAGTGGTTTCTAACAGGAGGACAGACTGTGTGTAATTAAAGAACATTAAACATCATATAAATGTATGGACTGTGCAGTGTTCTTGCTGGAGAGAGAGAGAGAGAGAGAGAGCTGTATAAATCTGCCGCCTGGCTCGCAGGAACTGATGTCATAAATTTGACCTGGAGGCTTGATCTGCACACAGAGCGCCAGGGACGACAGTAAATCAACCAGAGAAGATGCGTCTTGTGTGAACCAATCAAAACAATCAGTGTGTGTGTGTGTGTACAAACGTCCCCACCAAGATGGCAAAACTTGAAATCAGCTCCTAGCCAATGATCTCCGCAAGGAGAAATCATGATTAATAAACACACCAAGATAATGTGTTAACTGCGAACATTCAGTTTGGCGATGAACAAATATCATGATCTCAGTATAAAAACAGCACAAGTCAATGGACAGTCCTGAAAAAGTGTGTGTGTGTGTGTGTGTTGACCTTCAGCAGTTTGGAGTGCAGCAGGAGTGTGTACGCCGCCTCTGTGTAGTTCTCTCCATCCAAATGAAGATCCCGTAATTTGTACAGATACCTTGGAGACACATACACAGAACATTTAAAATTAATGCACATATATTATATACAAATAACTAAATTATATTATTAAAAAATTAAAAATAGAAAATATATGTTTTATAAAGTATAAAATAGAAATCATAAATTATATATATATATATATATATATAAATCATTTAAGCATTATATATTTTTTATCATTTCATTTTATGTACATATATATATATATATATATAAAAACACACACAGTATTATAAATTATATTTAAATAAATAAAATATATTATAAATTTTTTATAAATATAAAATAAATGTGATATTCTAAAGTATAAAATATTATTTACAATTGTGCATCTATATATAGATATATATATATATATATATATATATATATATATATATATATATATATATATTTATATATATATTTAAAGGCACTTTTTTAGCCATTGGCTTCCACAATAATATTGATCTGCCTGCATTACTGCATTGACACTATTATACAAGAACTGAACTGAGCTGGACGATGACATCACGGTTTACTCCAGAGCGGCTATATATATTATTTCATATATATTATTATTTTCCGGTCATTTCTGTAAAGCTGCAACCTGTAGCTAGCACTATATAAATAAATGCGACTTGACTAAATACATATATAGAAACAAACACAGAGTGATATAAATTATATTCAAATAACAAAAATATATTTAAAAAATATAAATATAAAATATATGATTGTATAAAATAGATATTATATTATTCCGTTCCAATATTATACTTCAAGTTTTCCTTTCCACCACAGGGAGGCAGTGTTGCATAAAGTCCTAAAGCGCTTGAGGCCGTTGTTGAAGAGATTTGACCGGTGTTAATGGGGTTACATACATGAAGCAGAGCCTAAACACCCTGAAGTGTGGTAAAATCACAGTAAACCATGGCTTCACACATATATTCCAAGAGCAATATGATCAAATAACCCAATATTAAATTCAGATTCATGTTTACAATTGGCAATAATTGCAAAAAGCAATTCATATATTGAGGTGTATTGATATTGTACTGTACTGAATAGTAAATATTATATTGTACTGAACATTATACATACTAATGCAATTATGCCTTACTTGCTTATTTCACAGGTCAAAGGTCATGATCATAAAATGTTCAAGTTATAAATAAACTAGATGTGTGTGTATTAAGATCACGGTTTACTCCAGAGCGGCTATATATATTATTTTATATATTATTATTTTACTTTTATCTCTGTAAAGCTGCTTTGAAGCAACCTGTAGCTAGCACTATATAAATAAATACAACTTGACTAAATACATATATAGAAACAATCACAGAGTGATATAAGTTATATTCAAATAACAAAAAAATATATTTAAAAAATATGAATATAAAGTATATAATTGTATAAAGTATGTGTGTGTATTAAAGCTGAATATTACATGTTTCTGATCATGTTCATTGACAAACTCAGTGAGAAACATCTGAATCAGAAGCTGAGATTATACTCAGAGTATCACACTGACGATCAGAGTATCAGAGAGTTCGCTCACGTTTTACCCAGAATGCAACTCTGCAGTCATTTATGTTTAATGTGCCTGTAAGGTAGCAGTATGTCAAACAACAGGGATACGTCTCGCTCCGTCCCTCATTCTGTCCATTCGTCTGTCTCTCTCTCTCTCTCTCTTTCTGTGTGTGTGTGTGTGTGTGTGTGTGTGTGTTGGATGCTTGGATGCTTATCCTTTGGATTTTGACATTAATTCAGCAAGACCAAGATAATCTCCAGTCAGATTATACACACACACTCAAACACACACACACTCACAATCACAGTCTCTCAAACACAGACACACACACACACACACACACACAGTAAATATGGAAATTACCTGATGTACATCCCCTCACGGTTGATGTCCTTGTAGAAATTCTGAAAAGAAATGAAATGGAAACGTTAACTTTGAGCCTCTGTGTTGTTGATATATCTCTGAAGATAAGTGTGTGTGTGTGTGTGTGTGTGTGTGTGTTTGAGAGCTTCGGATATGTAATGCAAAATTATGATGGTGGATTTCTGGACCTTTTGAGAATTACACACCACGCGATGCTTATTTATGGAGTTTATTTATATATTGGAGACATTTCATTAAAGTGGCTCCGGCGACGCTCTGATCGTTACACAGAACAAACACAAGTGAGAAGAAATGATTAGGAAAACATTAATATTTATGGAGGAGGCGAGTTAAAGGAGTAGTTCACTTTTGGAAAACTTTTAATCTACTCACCCCCATGTCATCCAAGATGTCCACGTCTTTCTTTCTTCAGTCGAAAAGAAATGAAGGTTTTTGATGAAAACATTACAGGATTTTTTTCCATATAATGGACTTCAATGGGGACCAAATGAGAGTTTCAGTGCAGCTTCAAAGGGTTTTAAATGTTGTGCGTTCGTAACTCTCCTGTTCATCAAAATGAACAAATCTTTTTTTTTAGTCATTTGGTTAATTCAACGAAAGAAATGCGCTCTACGCCTCATTCGCGCCGCAGGAATTTTTACACGTGTAACGAGTCTTTGCATTGACTTAACATTGAAATCATTCGCGCCTGACGCGCTATTCGAGTCCAGTGTGAACGCGTCATAATGACAAAAAAGGTAATAAAACTACTATCTATAAAGGGATTTTCTCATCGGTCTGGTCTGATCACGTTGCTTAAACCAAGTCGTTGATCTCCTGACCCGTCATTGTTTTTAACAAAGATGAAGATAACTGGTAGCACTTTACAATAAGGTTCATTAACATTAGTTAATGTATGAACTAACATGTGCAATACATTTGTTACAATATTTCGTTTGTTTTTTGTGCACAAAAAATATTCTCATCGCTTGATAAACTTAAAGGGTTAGTTCACCCAAAAATGAAAATTAAGTCATTAATTACTCACCCCCATGCTGTACCAACCCCGTAAGACCTTCGTTCATCTTCGGAACACAAATAAAGATATTTTTGATTGAATCTGAGAGCTGGATCAGTCCTCCATAGACAGCCTGAGGGACTGCCTCTTGACGGCCCAGAAAGTCATTAAAAGAAAAGGTTTAAATATTCCATGTGCCAACAGTGGCTCAACTATAACTTTATCAAGCGACGAGACTACTTTTTGTGCGAAAAAAAAACCGTAAATAACGACTTTATTCGACTTTCCATTACTTCCTTATGCGCGAGAACTGAGACGAGACCGTTCTTCTTCGACTACTTTTTGTTACCGGCTGCTCACCGCTTAGGAGTTTTACCGCCCCCTACCGTATAAGATGACGTACTGCTTGTAAACAGAACGTTTTGCGCCTCCGGCTATATCAGTACGTCATCTTATACGGTAGGGGGCGGTAAAACTCCTAAGCGGTGAGCAGCCGGTAACAAAAAGTAGTCGAAGAAGAACGGTCTCGTCTCAGTTCTCGCGCATGCGCCCATAAGGAAGTAATGGAAAGTCGAATAAAGTCGTTATTTACGGGTTTTTTTCGCACAAAAAGTAGTCTCGTCGCTTGATAAAGTTATAATTGAGCCGCTGTAGGCACATGGAATATTTAAACCTTTTCTTTAATGACTTTCTGGGCCGTCAAGAGGCAGTCCCTTAGGCAGTCTATGGAAGAGTGATCCAGCTCTCAGATTCAATCAAAAATATCTTTATTTGTGTTCCGAAGACGAACGAAGGTCTTACGGGGTTGGTACAGCATGGGGGTGAGTAATTAATGACTTCATTTTCATTTTTGGGTGAACTAACCCTTTAAGGTTGAGCTGCTGTCGCCACTCGGACTATTTTAACAATGTCTTTAATAACTTTCTGGGCCGGCCAGTTTCGATCCCTCAGAAGCCTATGGAGGAGTGATCCAGCTCTTAGATTTAATCAGAAATATCTTAATTTGTGTTCTGAGGGCGAGTCATTACTGACAGCATTTTCATTTTAGGGTGAACTATCCCTTTAAGAGTTGCTTTTTCTAGATTAGGACTATTGCAGGACTGTTCTGTTGAGAAAGGATTTAGAAAAGGTTATTAATGCCTTTGTTCTGTCCCGCCTTGACTATTGCAATGTTTTGTACGTAGGCTCCTGTCAGACCACTACATCACGCTTGCAATTAGTGCCGAATGCGGCGGCACGGCTGCTCACATTTCTCCTGTTTTAGCTTCTCTCCGGTGGCACCAGAGGGTTTCAGGATAAAATATAAACTCTGCTGGATGTTTTTAAAGCAATGCGTGGGATAGATCCTGCTTATTGCTCAGATCAAATAATAAGTCTTAGCTTTCTGTCCCTCGATCTCATTTAAAGTTAAAAGGTTTGGAATAGTCTGCCTCTTGAACTAAGAGGGATCACTTCTTTAGATATATCTAAAGCTTGTGTTAGAAAAAATTTCTTGTCTTTAGCTTTTGAGATGTTGAGCTAGGTGGTGCCACAGCGCTTTGGTCTCCAGGTGGAGTTGCTTTATTATCTTATTAATAAAAAAGATTATGTGTGCGAGATGTTAAATTAGTGGTGTTTTTGCAGTGGGTGGGCGGGGCTTACCAGAAGATTGACAGTGCAGCTCATGCGGTTGTTCCGGCTGTCATCACTCATCACCGTACGGTAGTCAAGGAGACGCTCGAGGAGGCCGGTCACCAGGGTAACGAAGTGTTGCACCTCGGTCACCAACGGGGGGCGTCCCAGAGCACACTCTAAAAGACTGAAGCGCAACGACACGGTCAGACCAGCTCTCGTGCTCCTGGCTTCAGTTTGAGTCAGAGATTCAGGAGGATTTGGAGGTTCTTATGGAGTGAAGCCAAGATTAGACAAGACCACAACGTGTGTGTGTGTGTGTGTGTGTGTGTGTGTGTGTGTGTGTGTTTCCGTACATGCTCTGTAGCAGCTCCATGTATCTCTCGTCTCCTCCGCCTCCTTCCACTTCATGATCCAACTTCAGAATGATCTCATTCTCAAACTGAGAGAGAGAGAGAGAGAGAGAGAGAGAGAGAGAGAGAGAGAGAGAGAGAGAGATCATTAAAAAGTTCAACAGTGTCGGTGTGCATATGCTTAACTGTGTGTGTTAATAAACTATTAACAAATAGCAACACCTAGTTGTTGTGATGTCCCAACAAGACAAATCATAAACCCTAAACATAATTCATTCAAAAAATACTTAAATTTTTTTTTATTTAATCCTCAGCATTTTTTTTTCATATTCCATAGACATAGGTTCAATATATATATTAAATATTTGTAAATTAATTTTAAATCTATTCCATAGAATTTATAAATATTCATTAGAAATATTTGACATTTATTTTTAACACATTTTACCATGTTTAAATTCATTCTCCAGGATCATAAATATTCCATAGATTTATATTTTTTATATTTTTATATTTATATTTTTTTTCCATATATATATATATAAACACATTTTACCATGTAAGTACATTCCATAGAACTATAGAAATATTCCATAGAAATATCTTTACAAATATTTTAAACACATTTTACTATCTTTAAATCCATTCCATAGAATTATAGAAACATATTTACAAATATTTAAATCTTTAAATCCATTCAATAGAATTATAGAAATTTTCCATAGAAATATTTAACACATTTTAAATCTATTTCACAGAGAGAGAAAAAAGTACAGATGGAGTCTGTGCCTGGCCTAGGCTAATTATAATTAACTCATCAGAACAATAATACAAATGAATGTGAACTCCCCACAGTGATACACATTATATAAGTGTTTGGGAATGTTAGGTTTTGAACAGACCAAAAAAAAGCTTCATAAAAATATGAATTAATGCATTATTTGCATGTTAAAATGTTCAGGAAGGGAGTTTAGCTTATTTTAAGAATAAGGGAAATCAAATTGAGATCGCCGCCTTGATATATTAACTGTGTGTGTGTGTGTGTATACCTTTTTAAAGTGTCCGGAGTGGTGGTGTTCACACTGCATCATGTCAAAGAATATAGGGATGGTTGCTCTCCGCAGCTCTTCCTCAGGGATGAGCGTCATCTCCAGGATAGGACCCACCATCCCGGGAATGAAACAGATCTTATTCATGCCTTAAAAATTTATGAAAGTGAATTAGTATAAACTTTACATTCATAGTCCATTCTCATCAGGTGTATGTGTGCACACACAGTCTTACCAAGCTTGTACCACATGTCTCTGATAGAGAAACCAATCAGCCTCCTCATGTCTCCGTATCTGAAAGAAAGAAAACAGGCAGGTTTATGAATATTTTATTGCTGCACTATAGTGGTGAGGGCCATACTTATAAAAATATTATGAAAAGAGTGTGTCTGTGAGCAGTGTCCGCTGGCTTAACTGGGAGGATTCTGGTTTAAGACTCACTTGGCCAAAATCGTGGTCCTTTTAGTGGGAGAAAAATGCTGTAACTGCAAAGACTCCTGGGTAATAAACGCCACAGCCAAATGGAAGTAATTATTCCATAACTGCAAAAGAGAGAGAAATCATGAACAAATGAAACCATGATGAGAGATGATATCAGGGCTATTAAAGCTAATTGAATCTGATCTTGATAAAGCTCGTGTCACACACACACACACACTGACCTGCACTTCAAAGTTGTTGTTGTCGAGGAACTTGAGGTTCATGGTGTCGGCGTATGTGTTGATCGCTCGGAGGAACACTCTGATTGGACGAACATACCAGGGTTATTATTGTTAACTACAGTAAAACTAAAACCCACAATTAAAATAAATAAAATAAAATAAATTGTTTCAGCTGATTGGTTCTAATCTTAATTTATTGATTTACTAAAATAACTAAAAACTAAATAAAACAAAATCAATACAAACAAAAACTATAGGCATTTTTAAAAATAAAAGAAATGACAAAAACTTTAAAACAGAAAATATACAAATAAAAACAATCAAAATATGAATAAAAACTATTTGATTCTTAATAAAAGTTCACAAAGACAAACATTGACTGTATTAATCCACGATTTCTACACAAATTTGAATACTTGATTGATTCACATTTCTAAACGTCTGAACATTATATCGTGTGTCTCAATGCTCAAAATCTTTTTACTAACATCACTTTCCTTTAATATTGAGTATCAGTGTCTCGGTTTTTAACTCTTCATATCTTCACAAGTTTAAATATCATTTTCAAACTGTATAAACTTCAAATGTTTTTCTTGTAAGGTGTAGTAAAAGTGTTTTTGTGCAATTTTCTTGACAATAAATATTATCTGATTTAGTATTTCAGGCATTTGTAAGTGTGTCAGCCTGTGTTCTCAGTATCTGATGATCAGCAGGGTCACAGATGAACATAAAAAACCGTGATATTGAATTCCAGGGAAATAAACTGAAGTCAATAAAACACAATATACTGCCACTGTCTGCTATCAAAAAGCACACACAAACACAGGAACAATCCATATTTTCACCGAGCTCAGCATGTGACGTTTCTCTCCGAGTTTGCAGGTTTATTCCTCTCTAAATCTCTCTTTCTCTCTTGTCTGAAGTGTAATCAATGTTGACATAGTGTTTGGGCTCCGGAAGATCTCTGGACTGATGGTGGCTGTTAAAGGGGTTCGTCTCAGGAACTCGAGTGTGTTGGTGTTTGTGTGTGTTTTTGCTCTCACCGGTTTTGCACCATGATCATGGTGACCCAGTCAGATGGATAGACATGTTTACCGATGAGATCCTTAAACAACAGAAACGTCTCCATCAGGAAGTCCTGCAAGAACAAACACAAGATGCTTAACAGCAGACAGACAGACAGATAGAAGGACAGATAGATACACAGACAGATTGATGGATAGATAGACAGATAGATACAGATTGATAGATCAACAGACAGACAAACAGACAGATTGATAGATCAACACACAGACAGACAGATTGATAGATCGACAGACAGACAGACAGATTGATAGATCAACAGACAGACAGATAGATAGATCGACAGACAGACAGACAGACAGATTAATTGATCAACAGACAGACAGATTGATAGATCGACAGACAGACAGACAGACAGACAGATTGATAGATCAACAGACAGACAGATTGATAGATCAACAGACAGACAGATTGATAGATCAACAGACAGACAGATTGATAGATCGACAGACAGACAGATTGATTGATAGATGAACAGACAGACAGATAGATAGATCAACAGACAGACAGACAGATTGATAGATCAACAGACAGACAGACAGATAGATTGATAGATCAACACACAGACAGACAGATTGATAGATCGACAGACAGACAGATTGATAGATCAACAGACAGACAGATAGATAGATCAACAGACAGACAGACAGATTGATAGATCAACAGACAGACAGATTGATAGATCAACACACAGACAGACAGATAGATAGATCGACAGACAGATAGACAGATTGATTGATCAACAGACAGACAGATTGATAGATCGACAGACAGACAGACAGACAGACAGACAGATTGATAGATCAACAGACAGACAGATTGATAGATCAACAGACAGACAGATTGATAGATCAACAGACAGACAGATTGATAGATCGACAGACAGACAGATTGATAGATCAACAGACAGACAGATAGATAGATCAACAGACAGACAGACAGATTGATAGATCAACAGACAGACAGACAGATAGATTGATAGATCAACACACGGACAGACAGATTGATAGATCGACAGACAGACAGATTGATAGATCAACAGACAGACAGATAGATAGATAGATCAACAGACAGACAGACAGATTGATAGATCAACAGACAGACAGATTGATAGATCGACAGACAGACAGACAGATTGATTGATCAACAGACAGATTGATAGATCGACAGACAGACAGACAGACAGATTGATAGATCAACAGACAGACAGATTGATAGATCAACAGACAGACAGATAGATAGATAGATAGATCAACAGACAGACAGACAGACAGATTGATAGATCAACAGACAGACAGATTGATAGATCAACAGACAGACAGATAGATAGATAGATCAACAGACAGACAGACAGATTGATAGATCGACAGACAGACAGATTGATAGATCAACACACAGACAGACAGATAGATAGATCGACAGACAGACAGACAGATTGATTGATCAACAAACAGACAGATTGATAGATCGACAGACAGACAGACAGACAGATTGATAGATCAACAGACAGACAGATTGATAGATCAACAGACAGACAGATTGAAAGATCGACAGACAGACAGATTGATAGATCAACAGACAGACAGATAGATAGATCAACAGACAGACAGACAGATTGATAGATCAACAGACAGACAGACAGATAGATTGATAGATCAACAGACAGACAGATAGATAGATCAACAGACAGACAGACAGATTGATAGATCAACAGACAGACAGACAGATTGATAGATCAACAGACAGACAGATAGATAGATCAACAGACAGACAGACAGATTGATAGATCAACAGACAGACAGACAGATAGATTGATAGATCAACACACAGACAGACAGATTGATAGATCGACAGACAGACAGATTGATAGATCAACAGACAGACAGATAGATAGATAGATCAACAGACAGACAGACAGATTGATAGATCAACAGACAGACAGATTGATAGATCGACAGACAGACAGACAGATTGATTGATCAACAGACAGATAGACAGATTGATAGATCGACAGACAGACAGACAGACAGACAGATTGATAGATCAACAGACAGACAGATTGATAGATCAACAGACAGACAGATTGATAGATCAACAGACAGACAGATAGATAGATAGATCAACAGACAGACAGATAGATAGATAGATCAACAGACAGACAGACAGACTGATAGATCAACAGACAGACAGATTGATAGATCAACAGACAGACAGATAGATAGATAGATCAACAGACAGACAGATTGATAGATCGACAGACAGACAGATTGATAGATCAACACACAGACAGACAGATTGATAGATCAACAGACAGACAGATTGATAGATCAACACACAGACAGACAGATTGATAGATCGACAGACAGACAGATAGATAGATAGATCAACAGACAGACAGACAGATTGATAGATCAACAGACAGACAGATTGATAGATCGACAGACAGACAGACAGATTGATAGAGCGACAGACAAAGAGGTAGTTAGACAGACAAAGAGCTAGTTAGACAGACAGGCATGTATATAGAACAACAGACAGATCAATAGACAGACAGACAGATAGAGAAACAGACAGATTGATAGATCGACAGACAGACAGACAGACAGATTGATAGATCAACAGACAGACAGACAGAAATATAGATAGACAGATCAATAGATAGATAGATAGACAGACAAGACAGACAGACAGACAGACTGACTGACTGACTTAGAACGACAGACAGACAGATCAATAGATAGATATATAGACAGACAGACTGACCACTAGGTCTGTGGTCCCACTGAAGGTCTCGATGTAACAGGAATAGTGTTTGTCTCCCATCTGACTGAGAATCGCCGTCATACAGGCCACCACACGAGACTAGAGAGAGAGAGGGGGAGAGAGACAGAGAGAAAACTTCAAATCTGAAGTCTGAACTTCAACAACAACAAACACAAAAGTCCTGAAAGTCCCGACTCTCTGATTCAGCTGATGGGACTGAAGATGAACAACATTTCAGACGATTTAGAGAATCTTTCAATCATTCAAATCGACGTCCAATTTCCCCTCCATCGTCACTCTGCATGACATCTCTCTCTCACACACACACACACACACACACACTCACTCTCTCTCTGATCAGATGATAAATGATACAGACGGAGGGGGAAAGTGATGGATGATGGATGGATGTTTGCAGACAGAGAGGTGAGACCCATCACTCAGAGACCACACAATCCTGACTGTACGCTGCTGATAAAACGTGTGTGTGTGAATATGGATGAAATTAAGTGTGCAGTTTATTCTGGTGTGAAGCAGTATATAAAGACTGGAAGACCACAGTGTCTTCCAGTAAACAAATATACACCATCGTTCAAGTCTCTGGGTCATAAAGTGAAGTCACTTCTGCTCATCAAGGCTGCATTTATAAAAACAGCAATATCGTGGAATATTATTACAGTTTAAAACAGCCGTTGGTTTTATTATGTGCACTCACCTAAAGGACACTAATACTGTGTTTGAGCCCCTTTCACCTTCAGAACTGCCTTAATTCTACGTGGCATTGATTCAACAAGGTGCTGAAAGCATTCTTTAGAAATGTTGGCCCATATTGATAGGATCGCATCTTGCGGTTGATGGAGATTTGTGGGACGCACATCCAGGGCCACCACATCCCAAAGATGCTCTATTGGGTTGAGATCTGGTGACTGTGGTGGCCATTTTGGTACAGTCAACTCATTGTCATGTTCAAGAAACCAATGTGAAATGATTCAAGCTTTGTGACATTGTGCATTATCCTGCTGGAAGAAGCCATCAGAGGATGCGGACATGGTGCACTCTTAGAAGAAAATGTTCTATATAGAACCTTAAAAGGTTCTATCAGCTCTATGTATTTGGAACCCCATAAAAGGTTCTATAGACTCTTAAAAAAGGGTTCCTCTGGGTTCTATACAGAACCCTGGGGTTCCATACTTGGCCAATAGAACCTTTTACCAAAAAAATGGTTCTATATAGAACCATTTTGGAGTTCCATATATGAAGCGGGGGATGGAACCATTTCTGGTTCTAAATAGAACCATTTCTTCTAAGAGTGTGGCCATAAAGGGATGGACATGGTCAGAAACAATGCTCAGGTAGGCCGTGGCATTTAAACGATGCCCAATTGGCACTAAGGGGCCTAAAGTGTGCCAAGAAAACATCCCTCACACCATTACACCACCACCACCAGCCTGCACAGTGGGAACAAGGCATGATGGATCCATGTTCTCATTCTGTTTACGCCAAATTCTGACTAATGTCTCAACAGAAATCGAGACTCATCAGTCCAGGCAACATATTTCCAGTCTTCAACTGTCCAATTTTGGTGAGCTCTTGCAAATTGTCGCCTCTTTTTCCAATTTGTAGTTTGTGAAATACTACAAATTGGCACCAGCAACCATGCCACGCTCGAAATTGCTTAAATCGCCTTTCTTTCCCATTCTGAAATTCAGGCCCCGTCCACACTACTGCGTTTTCGTTTAAAAACGAAGAATTAAAACGAATGCGATCTCCGTCCACACCAGCGGTTTATCTGCGTATTAGAAACGATCTCTGTCCACATTAAAACGACTAAAAACGCGGATCACGTGACCATTCACAATCACCAACACTGGGCATGCGCGTGCCGGTGTAAACAGTGAATGCGGAATCAGGGAAGGATACGTCATGACTGATAACACCCAATCATAGAGTCAAGCGTCAGCGTTTCTGAAGTTCTCCGTTTTGTATGGTTTTGTCTCGTCCACACTATAACGCCCTCCGGACATTCAAAACGCAAAACGCAGCTGCAGCATTTCTAAACATTTAAGGTGTTCGTTTTTCCCGTTTTAGAGTTGCAAACGTAGCAAAAGGTCTCCGCTTTTAAACGAAAACGCAGTAGTGTGGACGGGGCCTCAGTTTGGAGTTCAGGAGATTGTCTTGACCAGGACCACACCCCTAAATGCATTGAAGCAACTGCCATGTGATTGGTTGATTAGATAATTGCATTAATGAGAAATTGAACTGGAGTTCCTAGAATCCTTTAGGTGAGTGTACTGTATCATGCCAAATTTAATAGTTTGAGAGTGTAATGACAATGATTACATCATCCGTAATGCATCATGGGATCATTATCCCCTAAATTACACTAGAATACACAAGAGAATATAATAACATTGAAAAAAATGACACGCTTCTCCTTTAAGACTTGTGAAAAGTTTAGTGATAAATCCAGCAGACACACACACACAGTCTAAAGAGAAGAGTTTCAAACCATTGTGCTGAGACAGACTCAAGTGATGTTCCCAGACGCTGTTTAAAGAGCTCGGAGAGACCCGTCCTGCTGCTGGAAATATGCTGATCACACACACCTTTGTTCCTTTAAACCGCCCGCCTGTGTGTGTGTGTGTGTGTGTGTGTGTGTATGGTGAGATTTCTCTGTTGTAAGTGTTATACATCTCACAGCTGTCTGTATGCAATATGACAAACAAGGACAGAATGCCAATAAAACACACACATCAGCTCTGCTCACTAATGCACAACACACACACATCACATGTACGTTCACTGAAGCGCTAAAGTCCGCCACACACTGCGATTTCAGCAATCCTATTAGATCATTATAAATCACACTGTGCGACATGGATCTAATAAACTCGGGTAAGACGTGTACAGTATGTAGACTGCATGATGATCACATCTGTTGAATCTAAGTTAGTAGCCTATAGATTATTATTTTTTTTATGTGTGTGGTTGAAAATAAAACGAAAGAGGAGAATATGGAGTCGTGGCGAGTGAAATTTTCAATTTTGCAAATGGAGCTTGAGGTGATTAGTTTTAAGTTTTGATCGATACGCCATTACATGATGCACTTTTATTGGCTGGTCACTGGATGTAGGTCGTAACAGCACACACACTGACACTAACAATAACCGTAGGCTGTGACAACGACCATCTCTGAACCTTTACGAGGATCACCGTTTAAGAGCCACGACCACAGAAATCAACACGATTGGTCATCTTTCATCTGGAACAGGCCAAAATCATACAATGTGTACCGGCATTACAAGATAGGGACATTAAACCCTACTCAAAACCTATAGCCTATCAACATAAACTCAACATTTGCAGCAAAGAGACCATTTATTATACATATAACATTTTTAAAATAAAAATTAAACATCCATCCATAAAAATAATATATGATGATAATGTCTTAATACGCTCACCAGCGACTTCATTAGTCACCTGTTCAACTGCTCATTAATGCAAACATCTAATCAGCCAATCACATGACAGCAACTCAATGCATTCAGGCATGTAGAGTCAAACTGAGCATCAGAACGACACTCTTAGAAGAAAAGGTTCTATATAGAACCAGAAATGGTTCCATCCCCCGCTTCATATATGGAACTCCAAATATACAGAACCATTTTTTTTGGTAAAAGGTTCTATTGGCCAAGTATGGAACCCTAGGATTCTATATAGAACCCTTTTTTAAAGAGTGTATAGAACCTTTTAGGGGTTCCAAGTACGTAGCGCTGATAGAACCTTTTAAGGTTCTATATAGAACCTTTTCTTCTAAGAGTGTGGGATCTTCACACACGCGCGTCTCTAGGGTTTACAGAGAATGATCCAGGAAATATCCAGTGAGCCGCAGTTCTGTGGGTAAAAAAAGGTTTGTTGGGGTCAGAGGTCAATCAGAGGAGAATGACCAGCTGATAAAGGCAACAGTGACTCAAATAAGCTCTCGTCTCAGTCAAGGTTTGCAGAAGAGCGTCTCTGAACACACACCATGTTGAAGAAGACAACATCTGATCAGCTCCAATCATCTCAAACTAGTTTCTTGATCACGATTCGTATGACGGGTTTACCCTTAAGGTCGTCCCTGCATGTCCTTTAGTCAGGTTTATCAGACTTCTGAGGACAAATTTGGCCCTAAAGTATAGTCAAGTAAATACACACACACACACAAAGGCATAGAAAGGACACCACGTTTGATGAAAATCTACAGTCAACAAAGGAACCACACACACACACACACACACTGAGAGATGGCAGGCAGGGCAGCGGTAGCGTTAGAGGTGTAATCTGTGTTATGTAATAAATCTAATTAAATAGAGCGGTGTCATCTATAAGGACAGATGGCTCACTCTGCCGAATGAAAATAAAACCACGCACACATGAGTCATGAATATCCCCTCATCCCGATTCCAGCGTCGCACCTGTTCAAACAGCTCTTATCTTTCCTGATCCGTTTCCCGTTTCTTTCGTTATTCATTGAGAAAATAATCCATGCAGACCCCCAGCGTTTCATATCTCTGCTAAAATGTTAATTTGATTTCCAGAGGCTTCTAGAGAGAATCAGGCCAAAGTTTACACCACTAAAATTGCCAGAGCCAAAATTGTGTGTGTGTGTGTGTGTGTGTGTGTGTGTGTGTGTGTGTGTGGTCTGAATTAGAATTTTCAATCATCGTTTATATATAATTAAGTGTAAATTAAACATTAAATTAGAACTAATACCAGAACCAGATAATTGTAAACACTAAGATCAGAAATCAATTCAGATTATAATTAAATTGTACACTTTTAATAAAATAAATTGATATACTATTCAATAAATGATATTCATTACAATAGCATAAACAATACAATCAGCAGGTCCACATAATGAATTAGTATAACATAATACAAAGTGATAAATCATGAATGATGTTTTCATTTCTAATTTTATTTCCCCATTCCTGTTTACTCTAATTTGACTTGATATGCAGTATAGTTTTGGGATAGTTGGTAACACACAAATACAGTTTTTTTTTTTGAGAGACTCAGAGAGAGATAAAAATAAATCAGATGGAGAGACAGAGATGTTTGACACTCGCTCAGACTGGGACAGAATAACTGATGACAAAGAAAACATAGAAATAGATGAGACGAGGAGAGACGCAAACCAGAGCAACACACACACACACACACACACATCTGTGAGAATGTTTAAAGTGTGTGTGCATGCTTGCTTTGAGTATAGATAGGTGTTTGTGTGTGTGCGCATGCATGCTTTGAGCATGTGTGTGTGTGTGTGTGTGTGTGTGCATGCTTTGAGCATGTGTGTGTGTGTGTGTGTGTGTGCATGCTTTGAGCATGTGTGTTTGTGCATGCTTTGAGTATAGGAGTGTGCGTGCATGTGTGTGTGTTTGCATGTATGTGTTTGCGTGTGTGTGTTTGTATGTGTATATGCTTTGAGTATAGAGGTGTGTGTGTGTCCATGCATTGACTATAGGGGTGTGCGTGCGTGTGTGTGTGTGTGTGTGTGTGTGTCTGTGTGCATGCTTTGAGTATAGGTGTGTGTGTGTGTCCATGCATTGAGTATAGGGGTGTGTGTGCATGCGTGTGCTCTGAGTATAGGTAGGTGTGAGTGTGTGTGTGTCCATGCTTTGAGTATAGGGGTGTGTTTGCGTGCATGTGTGTGTGATTGCGTGTGTGTGTCTGTGTGCATGCTTTGAGTATAGGTGTGTGTGTGTGTCCATGCATTGAGTATAGGGGTGTGTGTGCGTGCGTGAGCTCTGAGTATAGGTAGGTGTGGGTGTGTGTGTGTGTGTCCATGCTTTGAGAATAGGGGTGTGTGTGCGTGCATGTGTCCATGCGTGTGAGTGTGTGTGTATGCTTTGAGTAGGTGTGTTTTTAGGTAGGTGTGTGTAGACGCATGTAGACGTGTGTGTGTGTGTGTGTTCTTCAGTCACTTGTCCTGGTTTTAGTTCTTCTTCCCCTGCGGCTGTAACCTCATCTACATCTTTCTCATTCTTTCATTTTCCTCCTTTTATCCATCCCCCCCCCACACACACACACACCACCACCACAGTCTTCCCTTTCTCATTTTCATCACACCCCCCCCCCCCCTCTGTAAACTGATGTTATGAGATTGCAGCTCCACTTCAGATCAAATTAAAACGAGCTTTAGTGAGAGCAAACCACACGGCCTGCCTTCATCCTGTGTTTTAAAAATCACACACACACCCCTAAATCAGGACGTCACACACATCTATTGTTTTATGTAAGCCTATGACTACAGACCAGCAGTAACTTTAAAACTAAACGTTTTGCATTAAAAAAAAGTTATTCAAATCATATATTTTATTGATGTTATCCTCAAGGGAGGTTTTGTCAGATTTAACACACCAGTGTTATCTTAGCATCTAATTTTTGAGATTTTACTAATAATTTGAATGGTTTTATTTTCATTTTTTAATATTTTTTTTTTATTATATTAAAATTTTTGTTACATTTTTTAAAGTTAAATTATGTTGTGTTTTCCTCATTTTGTCACTTTTTTAAGACACTTATATATAGTTCATTTTTATTTCATTTTTTTAATTTTTCTAGTACATCGTTAAACTAAACAGAAGTGAGAAATGTTGCCTTGGCAACTAGCTTAACCCTTGTGCTGCATTAGATTTTTAACACCGTTGAGTGCATTAAGGACCAAAAATGGCCACATATTAAACATTGCCTAAAATATTATATATTATTATTATCCTCCACTTTTACCAAGTTAAATCTTTTAACCAGCATCAGTCCTCATCATAACTACCAAAAATGTAATCAATTTCAGGATTTTAACCCTTTAATTACCAGTTTTGTTTGCGAAACCATCGATAAGAGGAAAAAACACAAAAATTCAATTATTTTCAATAAACTAAATGCAAAGAGAAAACTTTAGATTTAGATTATCACAGTCCCACTTTGCAAAAAATCCCACTTGGATGGGCCACCTATTAAACATTGCCTATTGCCTAAAATAAGGTGCATTTCCACCCATAGGGAATAAATATGTAGTGACGTCATCTGGTGGAATACACTATATAATGCAAATATAATGCTTTTGCTTCAAAATGAAAGGATGTTTGTGCAAAAATCATGTTTCATGTATTACTGACAGCCTCAGATTTAAACAACGCTTTAATGGGTTTCAATGGGCCATTTTTGGTCTTTATGGTGCTGAGTGTTACTATTTGATCTACACAGTGTGTGTTATACATATTTTGCAAAATGGGATCACATTTTTTACATGTATCCAAAAAGTCACAATTTTGCCAAATTTCATACCATTTGCATTAAAACAGCCAAAATGGTCAAAGAAATTAAACTGCAAAAGACCAAAAATGTCCCTAATGCAGCATAAGGGTTAAATAAAAAAAGTTAAATTTTTAAAAAATATTTTATCTCATAACATTTATTTTATTTCAAGTGATGAAATTGAGTTAATTTTACAGTTTTAGTTTCACTTAGACGATATATTAGTGAGCTCATCCCATAGACTTCCACCGTATTTCTGTCAGTTTGTATTTATTAATATATATTCCGTGCACATTGTGTTATTTATTTAATGTATGATGTTTTTATGTATACGGTTTACGTGTCCTCATTAATTAAGGACAAATAAAGTGTTTTGAATTTAATAGAAAAATATTTTTAAAATGTTTGTTTGTTTAAGCAACAGTGTTTAACCAATGGAGTGAGTTGGGAGGCGGGATTATCTGTTCAACTGGCCAATGACAGGTGAGATCAGTGTCTTAGAAACGTGTTTTTTTTTTTTTTTTTTTTTTTCAAAAAAACAAACTTCTTTTGGTCAAAAGGTCTGATTGGGAAGTTTGTCTGCATCTTTCTTTACAGTAAATAACACTTGCTATCTAATGCAATGACATATTAATAATTTTGGGGGGGCTGCTGTATGCTTTTTAACCGACAAGACTTTTCTATTATTTAAGGTACTGACCTGAAAACACACACACATTCAGCACTGCAAACACTATACCTTGAACACGTTTGTACACTTAGGTAGGTGAGTGTGTGTGTGTGTCTGTGGACCTATCAGCAACTAATATGACCGAGCAGGAGGGAGAAACCAGGACACGCAGCGGGATTAATACACACACACACACAGAGAGAGAGAGAGAGAGAGAGAGAGAGAGGGAGGAGATATGAGACGCTCACTTCACCAGTAGATGGAAGAAGAGACAGATGTGCTCGTGAGAGAGAGAGAGAAAGATCATAAACACAGACAAGAGAAAATCATAAAGACGGATTTAAGAAAGAAGAAGACGGAGGAGTGTGATCTCACACAGGAATATAGGAGAAACAGGACGAGTGAACGAGAGAGAGATGAGGAGATGAAGAACTGAAGAACAGTCCGTTCACCTACACAACACTCGTGTGATGAAGGTCAGTAACAGAGTAAATCGTCTAATGAAATATTGCAACCCTGCACCTAAAATATTCAGTGAATCGTTTTACTAAATGAATTCACCTGTGGGAAGTTCATCAACAAAAATGTATTTAAAAGAAGCTTAACATGGTACGGTACTTTTAACCTGTACCACGGTCACACCAAAAAAGTATGACGATACGATGCTTTGTATGACTTGTACCGGGGTAATGCTGTGTTATTCTCTGTGGTGTGTGCAATGAATATGGTAAACATTCACTACTGTGTTGATCAAAATAATGTAGTGTTGCAATCTTTTAAAAGTGAGTACTTCAGCTACCATCTCACATGTGTTTAATGTAATTAATCACTAATAACACTGAGCTGACTCTACTGTAAACACATGCTCTGTGGTCTCACTGGGATCTGTGTGTGTGTGTGTGTGTGTGTGTGTGTTATGCAACAACAGGTATCTAATACCCATCTGTTACAGAGACCTCTGATGAAGTGATGTGTGTGTATTTAAATACACTGTAAAAATTAATACGCTTTTTCTTCAATAGAATTGTGGCAACAGATTACAAGCAATATCATTAATAAAAATGAACAAATTAGAATTGAGTGATAATTAATCAAATTATTCCTTAAAAGTTAACCATTTAAAATGAGTAAAGTTTAAATGTCTATTTAGAACCAGAAATGGTTCCATCCCCCGCTTCATATATGGAACTCCAAACTTTTTTTTTTTTGGTAAAAGGTTCTATTGGCCAAGTACGGAACCCCAGGGTTCTATATAGAACCCAGAGGAACCCTTTTTTTAAGAGTGTATAGAACCTTTTAGGGGTTCCAAATACGTAGCGCTGATGGAACCTTTTAAGGTTCTATATAGAACCTTTTCTTCTGAGAGTGTACACCAAAAAATTAAACAAAAATATCTGAAACAAACCTAAAACAAACACCGATCACCATAATGGTGACTTAAATGTATGTGTTTTTTTGGTTGTTGTAAGTTTTACCTATTTTAAATGGTTAAGGAATTAATTTGATAAATTATTACTCAATTCTAATGTGTTAAATTGAATTAATAATATTGCCACAATTTTTTTTGATTAGATAAAGCGCATTCATTTTTACAGTGTATGCGTGTAATGCTTTTGAATGTGTGTGTGTGTGTGCATGCGCTTGTGTTTTGTGTGCATGTATGGGGGTAGGATTTACTTTGAAAGAATTTTCAATCAGAAAATGACAAATAATTACAAAGAAACAGGGAGATATTTAATTAACCATGGAATTTTGAAGTTATTTAGAAAGACTGGAATATTATTTTCTTGTAAAACATCCTCCAATAATCTCTTGAATTTAAAAAATCATTTTGGGTGTTTTGTCTAACTGTAGATGCATTGACTAGCATTGTTGGTGACATTGTTTCGTCTGTGAAACACAAAGAATGTTGGGAGTCAAACAACATTGGACCCCACTGACTTCCAATGTGTGGCCAAATAAACAGATACGTTTCTAAATATCCTCTTTAGTGCTTGGTAATAAGGAAGATGAGGAGGATTAAATGATGATAAAACTACTCCTTTAACTATTTTGCATTAAGTTAATTTGCAATGGCATACACGCCAGCTGTGTATAGCTTGAGGATCTCCCTTTTGGGGACAGATAGGTTCCCAAACTAGTGTGTGATTCAGGATCAGTCTGTGTCAAATCCATTTCATGCTGAAGAAATCTAAACATTCAGAAACAGTGAGACACACACACACTTAAACACAAGTAAGAATTAAAAAAGGAAAGTAAGACAGACAGACACTCAGCACGAGATAAACACCAGAGAGAGAGAGAGAGAGAGAGAGAGGGGGGCGAGAGACAAGGGAACAAATAGATGGTGACAGTGAAAGAAAGACCAGAAGAGACAAACGAGCAGAAAGACAGGAGACAGACAGGTATTTAAGAGAGACGGCGCTGACCCTCTGAATGAGGTGAATCTCCAGACGGCTGTCAAAAAGATGTCCAGCTCATATTTCACCCGCAGAATGAGAAGGAACGAATAAGAAATGTCTGACATGAAGAAATTGAAGCCCATCTTAAAGGCCAAAAAGAGTTTTTTTTTTTTTTTTTAATTGTGACATATTTATGACAATTAAATATCAAGTTAAATTATATTTCCCTCAAACTCTTATTACTGCAATGCACAGCAATCCCAATCCAATTCAGATTGTTAAATAATTAAAATTCTTGGAAAATGTGTAATAAATAAATGCAGGGGTATAAAAATATATGAAATCAAAACTTTGCAGCCTGTAAGATATATATATATATATATATATATACACACTCTTAGAAGAAAAGGTTCTATATAGAACCTTAAAAAGTTCTATCAGCACTACGTATTTGGAACCCCTAAAAGGTTCTATGCACTCTTAAAAAAAGGGTTCCTCTGGGTTCTATATAGAACCCTGGGGTTCCGTACTTGGCCAATAGAACCTTTTACCAAAAAAATTGGTTCTATATAGAACCATTTTGGAGTTCCATATATGAAGCGGGGGATGGAACCATTTCTGGTTCTAAATAGAACCATTTCTTCTAAGAGTATATATATATATATATATATATATATATATATATATATATATATATATACTGTATATATATATATATATATATATATATATATATATATACACACACACACTTTCATTGAGCAAGGATGTATTCAATTGATCAAAACAATAAAGACATTTATAAAATACTTATATTTCTATGTAAATGCTGTTCTTTTGAACTTTAACAGAATCCATTTTTGAACCATGAAAAAAGTGAACCAGTTTCAACAAAAAAAAAATTAATCAGCACGACTGTTTTCAACATTGACAATAATAATGAAAGTTTCTTGAGCATCAAATAATATTAGAGTGATTTCTGAAGACTGGAGTAATGATGCTTTGATCACAGGAATACAGTATATTACAATATATTCACATAGAAAACAGCCATTTTAAATTGTATTAATATTTGAAGAGTTCAGATGCAAAAGCCTCTAAATGCCATTTGAAATTTTCTTCTTTAATGATGATTTTTATCAAACTTGTATATTTAAGTTCAGTAATTTCACTTAAATTGCATTGAGGATTACCTATTAATTATCATTTAAGTGAAATTACTGAACTTGAACATACTGTATAAGCTTGATAAAAATGACCATTCTAGAAGAAAATTTCAAATGGCACTTAGAGGCTTTTGCATCTGAACTCTTCATTTCACAATATTACTGTTTTTATCTTTCAAATAAATGCAGCCTTGTCGAACAAAAGACACTTAAAAACACATAAAAACATCTGACAGACCCTAAACTTCTGATCAATTATGCACAGATATTTAATATTTGTTATGGCAACAAAAAAAACTAATAAGTTTCACTGAAGAAATGCATCATTTTGTGTGATTTACACAGAGAAGAGAATAAAATGAATCAGACTGTGTTCTTGAGAAAACCTGTGTCGTCCTCCAAAAGAGGTGAAGACAGAAACATCAGCTCATCTCTTGGGACGTTTGTGTCCTTCTGCACACAAATGCACACGCTCTCCCTTTTTTTAAAAAGCTGTTTTCTTTTTAAGCTGATAAATCTTTTAAGCTACCCAGATACTCTCACAGATGCAAACACACAGGCGTCTGATTGGTAAACACACTCGCTCCATCACATGACGAGTGAAAAATAAACACCCGTTCGCATTTGAGCACGTCTTCGTGTGTTTTTGTTGGTTTACTACAGTTTGATAAGTCAAGTATAGCCAAATCTGTGTCGTCCTGCCGCGTTTGTGCTCCAACCACCCTGAACACCCTGGTAACCACCCAAAACAACCTACAAATACCCTAGCAACACCCTGGCAACCATCACAAACACCCTGTCAACCAATCAGAACAACCTTGCAATACTTTAATCAATGTTCTAGTAACTCCCTGGAAACAAGCCCGAAAGGCAGACAAGTGACAACCATGTAGAAAAACCTAGAAATCTCCTAACAATGTCATAGCAACTCCATTGCAGCCAACCACTCAGAACACAGTAATGCCCTAGCCACCAACCAAAACAAGTAACCATCTAACAATGACTTATCAACTCCCTGGTAACCACCCATAACGCCCTTAGGAACACCCAGAGTAACCAAGCAACCCTCTAACAATGACTTATCAACCCCCTGGAAACCACCCAGAACACCCTAGCAACACCTAGGTCACCACCCAGAACAAGAAAGCTTCTAACGATCACTTATCAACTCCCTGGTAACCACCCAGAACACCCTAGCAACACCAAGGTCACCACCCAGAACAACCAAGCAACCCTCTAACAATGACTTATCAACTCCCTGGAAACCACCCAGAACACCCTAGCAACACCTAGGTCACCACCCAGAACAACCAATCAACCCTCTAACAATGACTTATCAACCCCCTGGAAACCACCCAGAACACCCTAGCAACACCTAGGTCACCACCCAGAACAAGAAAGCTTCTAACAATCACTTATCAACTCCCTGGTAACCACCCAGAACACCCTAGCAACACCCAGGTCACCACCCAGAACAACCAAGCAACCCTCTAACAATGACTTATCAACTCCCTGGTAACCACCCAGAACACCCTAGCAACACCTAGGAAGCACCCAGAACAAGCAACCCTCTAACAATGACTTATCAGCTTCCCTAGTGACCACCCAGAACACCCTAGCAACACCCAGGTCACCACCCAGAACAACCAAGCAACCCTCTAACAATGACTTATCAACTCCCTGGTAACCACCCAGAACACCCTAGCAACACCCAGGTCACCACCCAGAACAACCAAGCAACCCTCTAACAATGACTTATCAACTCCCTGGTAACCACCCAGAACACCCTAGCAACACCTAGGAAGCACCCAGAACAAGCAACCCTCTAACAATGACTTATCAACTCCCTGGTAACCACCCAGAACACCCTAGCAACACCCAGGTCACCACCCAGAACAACCAAGCAAC